TTTCAAGTTGCCCCCCCCCCCCCCCCCCCCCAAGCCCCTGCCTCCGCCCCCAGGATACAGCAGCACAGTGGTACAAACACGCTGTCCTCACACCACCTGTTGTGCCATTTTTCCAAATCCTGGACAAGACTTTACTTGTATACATGACATTGTAGTCCCTCATTGAGCATGAGGTACCCACTGCATTTCTCTTGCAGCACAACATTAGTGTACTTCGTCTAAGGGCAGCAATGTCAAATATCCTTAACCTTATCAAGCATGTATGGGACATGCTTGCTCACCATGTTAGATACCTGCCAAATCTACTGCAAATATTTTACAACTTGACAATGAATTCACCCCTGCTTGAAATAATCTTGCACAACCTACAGCCTGAAACTGTATCCACTCATCAAGGTGTCATTGAGGAGCAGGGATTAATGCCACAGGAGGGCATGCTCGTTATTAGGCACTTTGATTTTTCATTTCAGAGCCTCCATCTCCCCTTCCCCCAATCATTGTACCTCCCCCCAATCATTGTGAGTATCACTTTGCTTATATTTACAAGTCAGAATGAGTGCATCAAATTTCTTGCAACTGTTCAAACTTTTTTTATATCAGAATCAGGAACAAGAAAGAACATGGGTTATATAGACAAAAATTAAATGGGGCATTTACGAGGCATGGGTGTCTGGTATGTATAGCCCAGACATATAATACACAATGTAATATTTACTGGCAAAGAGGAAGACAGAGAAAAACATGGACTGTGCAGAGACAAGACAGATATAGCTTTGCAATATCAACAGTGAAGAAATTAGTCAACTAGCAAACACTTATGCTGACCACAATGTCCAGTAACAGATACAGCGATGACCTAGCTTCCCGTGTATCTAGATAAGGTTGCCTACAGTCTAGCTGATGTCCAGAAATAAGTAAATACAACACAGAGTATGAATAGACAGGTCAGCAGAGGGACAGGAGATGACCCTTGTCTGCTGTTTAGTTGGCCTGTTGTTTTGTTGGTTCATAAAGACTGGCCGAAATGCTTAGTTTGGTTGTGTGAGTTTTTCTTCCAGCTGAGCACTCAAGTTTGATTTGAGGCTGTAATTAGTTATTCCAATGTATCTACATATAGATGGAATGTTTGCAGCTTTTAACATTGTTTTAATCTAAATTCAGTGTCCTAACCACTAAATCTAAAATACACATCATTTTTTAAAATTCAATAATTACAGGGCTAATAACTAATGTACAGCTTTGGGAGAGAACTAAACAGGCTCCAGTGGACCAAGAGGTGAGGAAAAGACGCTGGTATTGGATAGGACACACACTGAGAAAACAGGAGAACAGCATAACTAAAATGTCTTTGCATTGGAACCCACAGGGACATAGGAATAAATGAAGACCAAAAAACACACGTAGAAAAGAGCTGGAAAATGAAATAAGAAAGATAGGGAGGACATGGGGAGAGCTCCATGCAATGGCGAAGGAAAGAACAACTTAACGTGAGTTGGTTGAGGACCTATGCTCCATTTTGGGTTAGAAAGGCGGAAGAAGAAGAAGAAGAATTCCTGATTTATATTAGTTATCTTCACATCACTCAGGACACATCCATAGGTGCTCCCACACACACCTCTCCTGCTACCCCTTCAGCATATACATCAGTGTCTCATGGTTAATAGTGCCAGTCATGTGCTGTTTAACAGAACTTTCTGTAGTCCAGTGTGCTTATCATATCCAGCTGTGCCAAACTTTATGGACAGTTCTCACACTCTTATCAGTGATGTGGACTGATGTGGACAAGCTGCTCCCAAAATCCCCCTATCGTCCTGTCTCACTAAGGGCATAAACAATGTCGGAGTGGTCCATTTGACGGCCATCTGCAGCTAAAGCAGAACCATACACAGAAATGCTGAATACAATGTGTCCAGTCAAAACACTTACAGAAATACTGAATACAATGTGTCCAGTCAAAACACATACAGAAATGCTGAATACAATGTGTCCAGTCAAAACACTTACAGAAATGCTGAATACAATGTGTCCAGTCAAAACACTTACAGAAATGCTGAATACAATGTGTCCAGTCAAAACACATACAGAAATGCTGAATACAATGTGTCCAGTCAAAACACTTACAGAAATGCTGAATACAATGTGTCCAGTCAAAACACTTACAGAAATACTGAATACAATGTGTCCAGTCAAAACACTTACAGAAATGCTGAATACAATGTGTCCAGTCAAAACACTTACAGAAATGCTGAATACAATGTGTCCAGTCAAAACACTTACAGAAATACTGAATACAATGTGTCCAGTCAAAACACTTACAGAAATGCTGAATACAATGTGTCCAGTCAAAACACTTACAGAAATACTGAATACAATGTGTCCAGTCAAAACACTTACAGAAATGCTGAATACCATGTGTCCAGTCAAAACACTTACAGAAATGCTGAATACAATGTGTCCAGTCAAAACACTTACAGAAATGCTGAATACAATGTGTCCAGTCAAAACACTTACAGAAATACTGAATACAATGTGTCCAGTCAAAACACTTACAGAAATAATGAATACAATGTGTCCAGTCAAAACACTTACAGAAATACTGAATACAATGTGTCCAGTCAAAACAATTACATAAATACCAAATACATTGTGTCCAGTCAAAACACTTACAAAAATACTGAATACAATGTATTCAGTCAACACACTTACAGAAATGCGGAATATAATGTGTTTAGTTAAAACACTTACAGAAATGCTGAATACAATGTGTTCAGTCAAAACACTTAGAGAAATGCTGAATACAATGTATTTAGTCAACACACATAAATGCTGAATACAATGTGTCCTGTCAAAATATTTACATAAATATTGAATACATTGTGTTCAGTCAAAACACTAACAGAAATGCTGAAAACAATGTGTCCAGTCAAAACACTTACAGAAATGCTGAATACCACGTGTCCAGTCAAAACAATTACATAAATACCGAATACATTGTGTCCAGTCAAAACACTTACAAAAATACTGAATACAATGTATTCAGTCAACACACTTACAGAAATGCGGAATATAATGTGTTCAGTCAAAACACTTAGAGAAATGCTGAATACAATGTATTTAGTCAACACACATAAATGCTGAATACAATGTGTCCTGTCAAAATATTTACATAAATATTGAATACACTGTGTTCAGTCAAAACACTAACAGAAATGCTGAAAACAATGTGTTCAGTCAAAACACTTACAGAAATGCTGAATACCATGTGTCCAGTCAAAACACTTATAGAAATGCTGAATACAATGTGTCCAGTCAAAACACTAACAGAAATGCTGAAAACAATGTGTCCAGTCAAAACACTTATAGAAATGCTGAATACAATGTGTCCAGTCAAAACACTAACAGAAATGCTGAAAACAATGTGTCCAGTCAAAACACTTACAGAAATGCTGAAAACAATGTGTCCAGTATCACTTTGCTTATATTTACAAGTCAGAGTGAGTGCATCAAATTTCTTGCAACTGTTCAAACTTTTTTTTTATTTCAGAATCACTTACAGAAATGCTGAATACAATGTATTCAGTCAACACACTTACAGAAATGCTGAATATAATGTATTCAGTCAACACACTTACAGAAATGCTGAATATAATGTGTTTAGTTAAAACAGTTATAGAAATGCTGAATACAATGTGTTCAGTCAAAACACTTACAGAAATGCTGAATACAATGTGTTTAGTTAAAACACTAACAGAAATACTGAATACAATGTGTTTAGTTAAAACACTTACAGAAATTCTGAATATAATGTGTTTAGTTAAAACAGTTATAGAAATGCTGAATACAATGTGTCCAGTCAACACACTTACAGAAATACTGAATACAATGTGTCCAGTCAAAACACTTCCAGAAATACTGAATACAATGTGTTCAGTCAAAACACTTACAGAAATACTGAATACAATGTGTCCAGTCAAAAAACATTTGCATACTGGAAAACGGATGGCTATTTAATGAATTGTGCATCCCCACTCCCCCACCCCCACTCCCCCACCCCCACTCCCCCACCCTGCCACATAGTTTCATCCTGCATGTTTACATAAATAATTATGTGAAAAAACATTTAATATTATTGTAACATCATTGCCACCATATATACACATCATAATAATTGTACACTTCAAAATGGCATCTTTGTAACAAGTGTAAATTACCAAAGATGAAGGGAAAATTACAGTTTATATAAAAATCTGATTAAATCAGCCACAGTGTTTTTCCTGGCTAATTATTAACTCTGTCATGAGCAAACATTGGACCCTGTATGACGGGGTGTTTTTCTTGTGTATAGATCGATGTTTTACACATTGTTGTACACCAAGCGTTTAGTCACGGCACAGGAATGGGCTCTGGCAATGTATCTGCTTTCAACCTGGAGCGTGTATTGACTGACTTTCTACCCCAACAGGACATTACACAAGCGATAAACACCCGATGACACAATGTGCCACCATGTGGGTGAGGATCACCCGTGGAGAGGTCCCAGAAACCGCGTTCAGCCCTTAGACCATTTTTAGGCCAGGCTTTATTGCGGTTCCTGGCTAGAGCCAGAGTAGGGCTTCAAAAAACGAAAAATTTCATCCTAAAAAGGATGGGAGCGTGTATTCTTTCTACCCACTAGGACATCACACAAGAGATTTCCACCCGATGACACAAAGTGCCACCATGTGGATGAGGATCACCGTGGAGAGGTCCCAGAAACCGCGTTCAGACAAATGGACCATATTTATGGCCTGCCTATATTGCGGCCCCTGGCAAAAGCCAGGGTGGGGTTTCAAATCAGCGTGTATTTCATCCTTGTGCAACAAGTAGATCTAATGACTGTGTTGTCATTTCCGCTGCAACTTTGGTATTAGATAATGATCTTCTGCCACTGAAAGAGTTAAGAACATTGTGAGAAAACATTCATCTGAGAATAATATCACCCTCCCGCCTTTAATACTGTCTTAATGAGGATTAAATGTGGAATCTTCGGCTTCATGTTCTGCCGGCACTGTCGCTTCACTTTCAGCATTTGTACTGTCTTTTGTCTCCCCTGTCTGTTCGTCAGTGTCTGCATCTGCTGGCACATGAACGTCTGCTTGTGACTTCCCGCTGCTGGTATCATCATTCTTATCATCCGGACTTCCTGAACTGACCTGGTCGTTGTTGTTGGATTGTTGTTCTGTCTTGTCCGCAAGTTCTTCTTTGAGAAGCTGTAAGAAATATTTAATAGATTAGAAGAAACAATACATTTCTAGATTTATACTATGAAACTAACTGTTCAAACTCTGCAGTTATAGAAATGTTTTTATTTATTTATGACAGTTTTTCCAAGCAGTGCTTTTTTTGGTCTGCATTTGTAGTCAGCCTAAAAGTAGTGCTGACATCTGTTGGGTTTCAGCTTATGTCTTGTGAGTTTGAGAGTCTATCATTGTCTTTATATAATATTACATTTATAGAACCTCAAGTCTGTTTATGTAATATAAGAGAGAACCTCCAGTCCATGTATGTAGTGTTTCAGTAAAATGATTTCTAGTCTACTTATGTAGCATTTCAGTGATATGATCTCCAGTCTGTTTCTGTAGCATTTCAATGATATGATCCCATTCTGTTTGTATAGTGTTACCTTGACAGAATCTGTAGCTGTCTATACAGTGTTACTCTGATAAAACCCACTTCAAGCAGCTATCAGTCATGTGATGAATTTTTAGTTGCAAGAATTGTTACTTCCTTCATTTTCACATCACATGTAATTTCTCAGTCCCCATTCATATCTAGCATAAACTTCACCCTAGCCTTACCTGTAGATCTTGAAGTATTGCTTTCATCGCTGCTCGAATTTCATCCTCCGAGGCTATCTTTGTGCTCATCTGGTTGAGGAAATCATAGCGAATGCTGGAGATGTCTTGCTTGATTTCATCAAAATCATCTGACAGGAAACAGAAGAAACAAGAAAATGTTACAGTGTAATAGATCACCACTCCTGCTGGCACAACATATAACTATATGTTGACAAAATAACCCATTGAGTACCGCCTGGTCTATAAAACATAACAAAAATTATGATTTTTTGAACAATTGTCCAGCTGTAATCTAGCTAACAGATACACCCAGCTGTAATCTAGCTAACAGATACACCCAGCTGTAATCTAGCTAACAGATACACCCAGCTGTAATCTAGCTAACAGATACACCCAGCTGTAATCTAGCTAACAGATACACCTAGCTGTAATCTAGCTAACAGATACACCTAGCTGTAATCTAGCTAACAGATACACCTAGCTGTAATCTAGCTAACAGATACACCTAGCTGTAATCTAGCTAACAGATACACCCAGCTGTAATCTAGCTAACAGATACACCCAGCTGTAATCTAGCTAACAGATACACCTAGCTGTAATCTAGCTAACAGATACACCCAGCTGTAATTTAGCTAATAGAGACACTCAGCTGTAAGCTAGCTAACAGAGACACCCAGCTGTAATCTAGCTAATAGAGACACTCAGCTGTAAGCTAGCTAACAGAGACACCCAGCTGTAATCTAGCTAACAGAGACACCCAGCTGTAATCTAGCTAACAGATACACCTAGCTGTAATCTAGCTAACAGATACACCCAGCTGTAATCTAGCTAACAGATACACCCAGCTGTAATCTAGCTAACATATACACCTAGCTGTAATCTAGCTAACAGATACACCCAGCTGTAATTTAGCAAATAGAGACACTCAGCTGTAAGCTAGCTAACAGAGACACCCAGCTGTAATCTAGCTAACAGAGACACCCAGCTGTAAGCTAGCTAATAGAGACACCCAGCTGTAATCTAGCTAATAGAGACACCCAGCTGTAAGCTAGCTAACAGAGACACTCAGCTGTAAGCTAGCTAACAGAGACACCCAGCTGTAATCTAGCTAATAGAGACACTCAGCTGTGATCTAGCTATTAGAGACACTCAGCTGTAATCTAGCTAATAGAGACACCCGGCTGTAATCTAGCTAATATAGACAATCAGCTGTAATTTAGCTAATAGAGACACAACTGTAATCTAGCTAACAGAGACACCCAGCTGTAATCTAGCTAACAGAGACACTCAGCTGTAATCAAGCCAACAGAGACACTCAGCTGTAATCTAGCTAATAGAGACACTCAGCTGTAATCTAGCTAACAGAGACACCCAGCTGTAATCTAGCTAATAGAGACACTCAGCTGTAATCTAGCTAATAGAGACACTCAGCTGTAATCTAGCTAATAGAGACACTCAGCTGTAATCTAGCTAATAGAGACACTCAGCTGTAATCTAGCTAATAGAGACACTCAGCTGTAATCTAGCTAATAGAGACACTCAGCTGTAATCTAGCTAATCTAGCTATAGAGACACTCAGCTGTGAGCTAGCTAACAGAGACATCAGCTGTAATCTAGCTAACAGAGACACCCAGCTGTAATCTAGCTAATAGAGACACCCAGCTGTAATCTAGCTAACAGAGACACCCAGCTGTAATCTAGCTAACAGAGACACCCAGCTGTAATCTAGCTAACAGAGACACCAGCTGTAATCTAGCTAACAGAGACACCCAGCTGTAATCTAGCTAACAGAGACACCCAGCTGTAATCTAGCTAACATAGACACCTAGCTGTAATCTAGCTAATAGAGACACTCAGCTGTAATCTAGCTAACATAAACACCCAGCTGTAATCTCGCTGGTGTAATCTAGCTAACAAAGACACCCATCTTTAATCTAGCTAACAAAGACACCCATCTGTAATCTTGCTAATAGAGACACCCAGCTGTAATCTAGCTAACAGAGACATTCAGCTGTAATCTAGGCAACAAAGACACCCAGCTGTAATCTAGCTAACAGAGACACCCGGCTGTAGTCTAGCTAACGAGACACTCAGCTGTAATCTAGCTAATAGAGACACTCAGCTGTAATCTAGCTAACAAAGACACCCATCTTTAATCTAGCTAATAGAGACACTCAGCTGTAATCTAGCTAACAGAGAGACACTCAGCTGTAATCTAGCTAATAGAGACACTCAGCTGTAATCTAGCCAACAAAGAATAACTGTAATCTATCTAACTCACCCAGCTGTAATCTAGCTAATCTAGCTAGAGACACCCAGCTGTAATCTAGCTAACAGAGACACCCAGCTGTAATCTAGCTAACAGAGACACTCAGCTGTAATCTAGCTAATAGAGACACTCAGCTGTAATCTAGCTAATAGAGACACCCAGCTGTAATCTAGCTAATAGAGACACTCAGCTGTAATCTAGCTAACAGAGACACCTAGTTGTAAACTAGCTGAAGTAATCTAGCTAACACAGACACCCAGCTGTAATCTACCCAACAAAGACACCCAGCTGTAATCTAGCTAACAGAGACACTCAGCTGTAATCTAGCTAATAGAGACACTCAGCTGTAATCTAGCTAATAGAGACACTCAGCTGTAATCTAGCTAATAGAGACACTCAGCTGTAATCTAGCTAATAGAGACACTCAGCTGTAATCTAGCTAATAGAGACACTCAGCTGTAATCTAGCTAATCTAGAGACACTCAGCTGTAATCTAGCTAATAGAGACACTCAGCTGTAATCTAGCTAATAGAGAGACACTCAGCTGTAATCTAGCTAATAGACACCCAGCTGTAATCTAGCTAATAGAGTCATCTGTAAGCTAATAGAGACACTCAGCTGTAATCTAGCTAAGCTAGAGACACAGAGACACTCAGCTGTAATCTAGCTAATAGAGACACTCAGCTGTAATCTAGCTAATAGAGACACTCAGCTGTAATCTAGCTAATAGAGACACTCAGCTGTAATCTAGCTAATAGAGACACTCAGCTGTAATCTAGCTAATAGAGACACTCAGCTGTAATCTAGCTAATAGAGACACTCAGCTGTAATCTAGCTAATAGAGACACTCAGCTGTAATCTAGCTAACAGAGACACTCAGCTGTAATCTAGCTAACAGAGACACTCAGCTGTAATCTAGCTAACAGAGACACTCAGCTGTAATCTAGCTAATAGAGATACTCAGCTGTAATCTAGCTAATAGAGACACTCAGCTGTAATCTAGCTAATAGAGACACTCAGCTGTAATCTAGCTAATAGAGACACTCAGCTGTAATCTAGCTAATAGAGACACTCAGCTGTAATCTAGCTAATAGAGACACTCAGCTGTAATCTAGCTAATAGAGACACTCAGCTGTAATCTAGCTAATAGAGACACTCAGCTGTAATCTAGCTAACAGAGACACTCAGCTGTAATCTAGCTAACAGAGACACTCAGCTGTAATCTAGCTAACAGAGACACCCAGCTGTAATCTAGCTAACAGAGACACCAGCTGTAATCTAGCTAACAGAGACACTCAGCTGTAATCTAGCTAACAGAGACACTCAGCTGTAATCTAGCTAATAGAGACACCCAGCTGTAATCTAGCTAATAGAGACACTCAGCAGTAATCTAGCTAACAGAGACACCCAGCTGTAATCTAGCTAACAGAGACACCAGTTGTAATCTAGCTAACAGAGACACCCAGCTGTAATCTAGCTAACAGAGACACCCAGCAGTAATCTAGCTAACAGAGACAGCCAGCAGTAATCTAGCTAACAAAGACACCCAGCTGTAATTTAGCTGTAATCTAGCTAACAGAGACACCCAGCTGTAATCTAGCTAATAGAGACACTAACAGAGATACTCAGCTGTAATCTAGCTAATAGAGATACTCAGCTGTAATCTAGCTAATAGAGACACTCAGCTGTAATCTAGCTAATAGAGATACTCAGCTGTAATCTAGCTAACAGAGACACCCAGCTGTAGCTCTAGCTAACTAGCTAGAGACACTCAGCTGTAATCTAGCTAATAGAGACACTCAGCTGTAATCTAGCTAATCTAGCTAATAGAGACACAGCTGTAATCTAGCTAATAGAGACTAGCTGTAATCTAATAGAGATACTCAGCTGTAATCTAGCTAATAGAGATACTCAGCTGTAATCTAGCTAATAGAGATACTCAGCTGTAATCTAGCTAATAGAGATACTCAGCTGTAATCTAGCTAATAGAGATACTCAGCTGTAAACTAGCTGAAGTAATCTAGCTAACACAGACACCCAGCTGTAATCTACCCAACAAAGACACCCAGCTGTAATCTATCTAACAAAGACACCAGCTGTAATCTAGCTAACAAAGACACCCAGCTGTAATCTAGCTAACAGAGACACCCAGCTGTAATCTAGCTAACAGAGACACTCAGCTGTAATCTAGCTAACAAAGACACCCAGCTGTAATCTAGCTAACAGAGACACTCAGCTGTAATCTAGCTAACAGAGACACTCAGCTGTAATCTAGCTAATAGAGACACTCAGCTGTAATCTAGCTAACAGAGACACCCAGCTGTAATCTAGCTAACAGAGACACTCAGCTGTAATCTAGCTAACAGAGACACTCAGCTGTAATCTAGCTAATAGAGACACTCAGCTGTAATCTAGCTAACAGAGACACCCAGCTGTAATCTAGCTAACAGAGACACCCAGTTGTAATCTAGCTATCAGAGACACCAGCTGTAATCTAGCTAACAGAGACACCAGTTGTAATCTAGCTAACAGAGACACCCAGCTGTAATCTAGCTAACAGAGACACTCAGCAGTAATCTAGCTAACAGAGACACCCAGCTGTAATCTAGCTAACAGAGACACCAGCTGTAATCTAGCTAACAGAGACACCCAGCTGTAATCTAGCTAATAGAGACACCCAGCTGTAATCTAGCTAACAGAGACACCCAGCTGTAATCTAGCTAATAGAGACACCCAGCTGTAATCTAGCTAACAGAGACACCCAGCTGTAATCTAGCTAACAGAGACACCAGCTGTAATCTAGCTAACAGAGACACCAGCTGTAATCTAGCTAACAGAGACACCAGCTGTAATCTAGCTAACAGAGACACACCCAGCTGTAATCTAGCTAACAGAGACACCCAGCTGTAATCTAGCTAACAGAGACACCCAGCTGTAATCTAGCTAAAAAAGACACCCAGCTGTAATCTATCTAACAGAGACACCCAGTTGTGGGCTGCTAAAAAAGACACCCAGCTGTAATCTAGCTAACAGAGACACCCAGCTGTAATCTAGCTAACAGAGACACCCAGCTGTAATCTAGCTAACAGAGACACCCAGCTGTAATCTATCTAACAGAGACACCCAGTTGTGGGCTAGCTAAAAAAGACACCCAGCTGTAATCTATCTAACAGAGACACCCAGTTGTGGGCTAGCTAAAAAAGACACCCAGCTGTAATCTAGCTAACAGAGACACCCAGTTGTGGGCTAGCTAAAAAAGACACCCAGCTGTAAATCTAGCTAAGTTGTGGGCTAGCTAAAAAAGACACCCAGCTGTAATCTAGCTAACAGAGACACCCAGGTGTGGGCTAGCTAAAAAAGACACCCAGCTGTAATCTAGCTAACAGAGACACCCAGCTGTAATCTAGCTAACAGAGACACCCAGTTGTGGGCTAGCTAAAAAAGACACCCAGCTGTAATCTAGCTAACAGAGACACTCAGACATCCAGCTAACAGAGTAACCCAGTGGGCTAGCTAAAAAAGACACCCAGCTGTAATCTATCTAACAGAGACACCCAGTTGTGGGCTAGCTAAAAAAGACACCCAGCTGTAATCTATCTAACAGAGACACCCAGTTGTGGGCTAGCTAAAAAAGACACCCAGCTGTAATCTATCTAACAGAGACACCCAGTTGTGGGCTAGCTAAAAACAAAAGACACCCAGCTGTAGTCTAGCTAACAGAGACACTGAGATATGAAAACTGTCAGTCAGTTGTAAAGTGGAACTAAAGCCTACCTTCAGTGACTTCCGCTTCACGTTGTATGTCAAATATATACCGCTGGACGATACGCTGCATGGTTTGCTGAAACAACATGAGCACCAGAGTTAGTCAATTGTACACTCTATACCACTTGTTCTGAGTGTATTACATTCATGTAATCACGTTATTTACACCTTTCTTTATCTTAGCCACGCTAAATCATATTGAATATAGAGGTTAAAAAAAAATAAACTAGTGATTCAGTTATAAAAATTACACAGTCGAAAATTAATTATCCTTGTGTATTCTGCTGATATGAAAGCACACAGGGCTGGAGAAAGAGAGACTTTTAGGAAAGACGAGAAGAGAGGGACGTTCTGTAAAGAACCTGCTGACAGATGACAATGATTTCCGATAAGCTTAGGCCATGATGGTTGCCCATAACATTTGTTTCTCTTTATGAGTTGACCCTGTTCAACCTGTATTTGAAAGGTTATAATTAAGGTGTTTGATGTTGTTGGGAGCAAAAGAGGCAGTGAGTGTGTATGTGCATGTGTGTGTGAGAGAGAGAAAGAGATGATGGCTGGGGGAACATGCATGATTGGCGGAAGCCGAGGACACCTGCGTTGTGAAACATCAAGATCGGCGCTGAATGGACAGAAAGAACGCAAAAGCACATCGAGGTAATAATCATCATGGGCAGGTCTTGCATAGTTTGGAGCCAGACAACCTTTAATGGTGAAATAAGAAATAAGGACACTTGCCCACGAGCAAACTCGATCAGACGGCTCACTGATTTGTGGGGTGCGGTCTCGATGGGCATACACAGAACAGGTGATTGGGCCGACTATATCTAGCTAACAGCGTAGACACCCAGCTCTAATCTAGCTAACATAGACACCCAGCTGTAATCTAGCTAACAAAGACACCCAGCTCTAATCTAGCTAACAGAGACACCCAGCTGTTATCTAGCTAGCAGAGACACCACCTGTAATCTAGCTAACACAGATAGCTGTAATCTGGCTAACAGATACACCCAGCTGTAAGCTAGCTAAAAAAGACACCCAGCTGTAATCTAGCTAACAAAGACACTGAGATATGAAAACTGTCAGTCAGTTGTAAAGATAAACTTAAGCCTACCTTCAGTGACTTCCGCTTCACGTTGTATGTCAAATATGTACCGCTGGACGATACGCTGCATGGTTTGCTGAAACGACATGAGCACCAGAGTTAGTCCATTGTACACTCTACACCACTTGTTCTGAGTGTATTACATTTAATCACGTTATTTACACCCTTTTTTTTTAAAAAATCTTAGCCACGCTAAATCACATTGAATATAGAAAGGTACAAAAAAAAAAAAAAAAAAAAAACTTGTGATTTAGTTGGAAAATTATATAGTCGAAAATTAATTATCCTTGTGTATTGTGAAAGCCCACAGGGCTGGAGAATTGGTTAGAGAAAGAGAAATTTCCAGGCGAGCCGTGAAGAGAGCGACGTTCTGTAAAGGACCTGCTGACAGATGACAATGATTTGCCGATAAGCCTAGGCCAAGATGGGTCTCCATAATATTTTTTTTTATTCTCTATGAGTTGACCCTGTTCAACCTGTATTTGAAATGTTATAATGAAGGTGTTTAATGTTGTTGGAAAAAAAGAGTGAGTGAGTGTTTTTGTGCATGTGAGAGAGAAAGAAAGAGATGAATGCAGGAGGAACATGCATGATTGGCGGAAGCCGAGGACACCTGCATTGTGAAACATATCAAGATCGGCGCTGAATGGACAGAAAGAACGCAAAAGCACATAGAGGTAATAATCATTATGGACAGGTCTTGCAGAGTATGCAGCCAGACAACCGTCAATGGTGAAAAAAGACACTCGTGGACACTCGTCCACAAGCACACTCGACCAGACGGCTAGTTGATTTGGGCATACACAAAGCAGGTGAATGGGACGACAATACAAGAGAAGTCAGTCATTCAATTAACCTACTTCTAGCTTTACGATGGAGATAGTATTGTCACAGGTGTACTTGCATGGTTGGCGGGACAAAAAGCAACTCAGGCATTGATAGTGACGGACTCAATGAGTAAGCTTAAGAAGATTCAAACTGGCACACCCTGACTTGTTTTGGTTGATAGCACCCAGAAGTCTGGCTTTAAGAAACTATCTTGGTTTTACACCGGGGACTTGCTGGGATGGAAGAGCCAACACACTCGCCACCATGTCTGCAGTAGCTACTAGAGGAAGACATACTCAGTGCGTTGTGTTTCAGAAACATCGAGACATGGGAGTCAGCAACAATGAACAGCCTGTTGGAAACTGGTATTAAATAAGGACAAGCATAAGAAGATACACTAAGCAACCACTAATGGGTACGATAAGCGGAGAGACAGATGACTTTGCATCTGAGAGCAGAACACAGATGGGTCGAATCGATGCACTAGGATGTCGATGCAGATAACTAATAACAAGATAAGAAAAGAAACATATGTAATACTGAGAGTAACAGACAGGCACAACGATAAAAGGAGAGAGAGAGAGAGAGAGAGAGAGAGAGAGAGAGAGAGAGAGAGAGAGAGAGAGAGAGAGAGAGAAGCTGAAGGACACAAGGAAGACATTGACATGGGTTACTTTACCTGGTAGGTCAGCTTTTCGTCTTCCTCCTGAAGCGAGGCCACGGGCAGAGCTTTGCGAGGCGTGGATCTGATGGGTGTACCGTCCACGCTGCCCCGGCTGATGACCTGCATATCCACGACAGACATGTTGTCCCCGGGGTATGCACCCTGGCGAGTCAGACCGCAGAATACATGTTAGAGAGAGAATTCCCACAAGAATTGGTTGAAGATGTTTAAAGGGAATGACACAATCAATCAATCATTTAAACAGCTCTGACAATCAACATCCCCTGGGAATGAACCACACAATAATGCTGTAGCTGTAAATCTTTCACCCGGGAACCAAACATACAATCCGAAACAAATAATTTGGTTTGTGATTCAATAATGACACAGGGAAAGCGATATTTAATATTAAGTGCTAGCTTGAAAGTAACAGCCCATGATTTATTTTGGCAAACGTTAAACAAGAACAATTACAAAAATGCCTTGATAAGATTAATTTCTGGGCTCTGTGAACTAAGTATCATCAGGTTTCAGAGTTAATCTCAGTTAGGTGGATATTGTTTCAGTGTTAATCTCAGTAAGATGGATATTGTTTCAGTCTGCTTACATGGAGATCTTTGTAAAGTAGCATACCAAAAAAAAAAAAAAAAAGGGGGGGGGGGAGGTTAATTTATAACGTTCACAATTATAAAAAGGTTGTTGCGTATCCTTTACAGGGCGTTGCAGAACCAACCCTAACAGCCCCTGGCTGTTGTGTGGTTTCTCTAGGCAAATTTACGTCCAGTAGTTTGCCATTGCTCCTGGACGGTCGGCTTTCTTGATACCACTGTCGAAACCAACGCAAGGCGCATGGCCCGCAGCTGGGCTCGATCCCGGTTCACAATTATAAACATTCTAAATACAAAAGAAGAAAATAACCAACTGAGATATAAGGTGAATAAATCCACTATTTTGTATACATAACAAAACATAATAAGACACTGAAAATATGTCATGGCGAAAGGCAAATATGCCAGAGGTCGACGACAAGGACCACGGCTGATGTGAGAGAATAACATCCGTAGATTGAGGCGTGGCGAGGTCCTGGACGTCATTACGAGACATCGAGATAGCTGGACATCATGACGAGATATAAGGTGGCTGGACATCCCTGGGAGATACAGAGGTGGTTGGACATCACTGGGAGATACAGAGGTGGTTGGACATCACTGGGAGATACAGAGGTTGGACATCACTGGGAGATACAGAGGTGGTTGGATATCACTGGGAGATACAGAGGTGGTTGGACATCACTGGGAGATACAGAGGTGGTTGGACATCACTGGGAGATACAGAGGTAGTTGGACATCACTGGGAGATACAGAGGTGGTTGGATATCACTGGGAGATACAGAGTTGGTTGGACATCACTGGGAGATACAGAGGTTGAACATCACTGGGAGATACAGAGGTGATTGGACATCACTGGGAGATACAGAGGTGGTTGGACATCACTGGGAGATACAGAGTTGGTTGGATATCACTGGGAGATACAGAGTTGGTTGGACATCACTGGGAGATACAGAGGTGGTTGGACATCACTGGGAGATACAGAGGTGGTTGGGCATCACTGGGAGATACAGAGATGGCAGGACATCACTGGGAGATACAGAGGAGGCTGGACATCACTGGGAGATACATAGGTGGTTGAACATCACTGGGAGATACAGAGGAGGCTGGACATCACTGGGAGATACAGAGGATGCTGGACATCACTGGGAGATACAGAGGTGGCTGGACATCAATGGGAAATACAGAGGTGGCTGGACATCACTGGGAGATACAATGGGGGTTGGACATCAGGGGCAGATATATAGGTGGTTGGGCATCATCTTGAGATACAGAGGTGGGGGTGATATATAGGTTGTTTGGGCATAGTGGGGGAGATACAGAGGTGTTTGGGCATAGTGGGGGAGATACAGAGATAATTGGTCATCAAGACGAGATACAGAGTTGGTTAAAAAAAATTATGCTGAGACGTGAGATAAAGATCACAGAAGACACATGCAAGCAGACTGTTCATATGAAGATGGCAGCTGTTGAAGATGGCAGCTGTTGCAACGAAGAAATATTTATTAACAATTGGCGACGCACTATGTTTATGTTTATTATATATTATGTTATTTATTATATGTTTGTTGTATATATAACATCCTATAAGTGCTCCGTTCTACTTCTAACTCAGGCCTTAATCTTAAGAATCTGAGCGCAGTGCACGAACTCCTTAGCACCGACGAGGATCCTAAAATAATTTGGGTGGATTTTTAACCCCACATTTTGCCCAGGCCGCGCCGTTAAGCTACTCTTTTGCTATTTCTAACTACCATAGTATTTTCTTTTTCGTGCGGACGTCCGATCTTACTAAACAGAGACTAGGGGAAATTACTAGAAGTCCACGTTAAAAAATCCCAAACTTCCCCGGGGTTTGAACCCGGGACCTTTAGCACTCGAGGCGGATGCCATGCCTCGAGACAACTCAGCCACGTACTGTCTGTAAGCAGTTTCACAATATTCATGCAACTGATATATGCAGTTGCAAGTCAACTTGTCTCACACACACCCCAGATGAGCCGTCCAGTGATATATCCTTGGCTAGTGGTCTCCTGGGTGAGCCTCTTGCTGCAGGACCATTGCTAACACGGACAGGCGACATCTCTGGCGGTGGAAGGTCGTCCTCGTCATTGATTACTGAAATAAAATTGTATGAAGGATTAGACTAGGAGCTCACTTTTCTTTGAATGTTGAAATGGTTTCACTTAGTAACAACACAGATAGACAGAAACACACCAACACACACACACACACACGCACACACACCATATGTAATCGTCTGTGGCTTAGGCGCTGCCAACGCGCTCCATAATGCCGGGGTGCTGGGTTCGATCCCAGCTGTGGGCGGTTTGTCTTGCGTTGGTTGCGACAGTGGTACCGAGAGCTGACCGTTCAGTAGCAATGGCAAACTAGTGAAAGTAAAATTTGCCTAGAAAAACCACCCAAAAAAACAAAACAAAAAAACTGGGGTTGGTTCTGCAATGTCCTGTAGAGAATACGCAGCCAACTTTTCTAAATACCATATAAAAGGGCAGACAATAATGGAAAAATAAATGTCTATAAGAGATAAGGAGGAAGGTCTCCCGGAATCGTTTCGGACAGCTTTCTTTTGTTTCTGGGCAGGGCCGTCTAACGCGTGGGTCCGCTTGGTACGGGGGTCCACTGGGTACGGGGTCCACTGGGTACGGGGTCCACTGGGTACGGGGTCCACTGGGTACGGGGTCCACTGGGTACGGGGTCCACTGGGTACGGGGGTCCACTGGGGTCCACTGGGGGCCTTGATTCCATTGTAAATACCGTAAATCTGGGAGAAATGTGGCTTTTCTGCCTACCCCCGGGGGTGAACCCGGACCACAAGGAGTTCGTCACCCGGTCACCGCGTAATCCGGTTTAGCCAACTATGCTAGAGAGCCGGGTATATTTATATATAATATTATCGACCACTGACATTTGATTCCTATTGGTATTAGTAATTTTCGTAGGGCCCCGGCACATACTAGATTCCCCAGGGACCCATAACGCTGTAAGTGCAGTTTTTTTTTTTTTTTTTGAAACAGGGCAATAGAAACAATAATTTCGACTCCACAAAGTGAAATGTGGAAAGCAGGAATGAGAGGTTGGTGGGCAGGGGAGGGGATGGGGGAGGGGTGGGGGGGGGGTTACGTGACCATATACACTTGGAATGTTACTAAATGTTGATTAGTATCGTTGACACTTTTTCCCTTGCAGTTCAACTAGTAGCGTTTCGTCAGGTCTAGAGAAAAGCCTCCAAATGACCCAAGAGAGACAGTGTGAAATGATACTGTCGGACAGATGTGATAACAACATTTCTCACCAGATTCCCTGAGATGTGATAACAACATTTCTCACCAGATTCCCTGAGATGTGATAACAACATTTCTCACCAGATTCCCTGAGATGTGATAACAACATTTCTCACCAGATTCCCTGAGATGTGATAACAACATTTCTCACCAGATTCCCTGAGATGTGATAACAACATTTCTCACCAGATTCCCTGAGATGTGATAACAACATTTCTCACCAGATTCCCTGAGATGTGATAACAACATTTCATACCAGATTCCCTGAGATGTAATAACAACATTTCTCACCAGATTCCCTGAGATGTGATAACAACATTTCATACCAGATTCCCTGAGATGTAATAACAACATTTCTCACCAGATTCCCTGAGATGTAATAACAACATTTCTCACCAGATTCCCTGAGAAGCAGAAGATCCAATATTTCACTAGAATGCAGCTTCAACAAGTACCTCCACTTAAAATGATCTGATGTAAGATCAAGAGGGCGCCCACGGAGAAAATAGATCGATAACATTAGAGACATACAACATTCACACTGAACCACAACAGCCAGTGCTGCCCAGAAAGCGCTGGACGGTAAAGCGTTCCTCCCCACGCCGCTTAACAGTAAAAATGGAAGTTGATGATGAGGGTTATGACTGTGACAAGTGTGACTGGACTTGTCTCTTCTGATGTTGAAGTTATGATAAGTTAAAGTCTTTACAATGCCTTACAACTAATTATGCGTTGTAGCAATAATAGTAGTAGTAGTATTGTAAATATCGTTATCCTCTTCAACACTACAGGGTTACTCTGCGAGTCTTGGCCAGTGATTTTTGCTAACCCAGTGTGCATGTTAGATGAAATAACACTGAATTCTGATCTCTATATTGTTTTTTGTCTATAATAAAAGTGTAGCCGCAACTTTGTCATCTGTGCGCAACGCTTCCTGACTGTACTTGATGTTTACTGAATGTGAGCAAGCGCCTGTGAGAGTTAGTCCGGATGCCTCTACATGAGAAGCTGGTGGACGTACGAGTACATAAAGTACGCCTCTCTTTAGCTCCCTTCCTCCCAAACGTGTGAAAACACAATTTTCACGTCCGATACATTCAAGCAAGTGAATAATGACAACTGATATCGCGTAACAGCTATTGCCATCGAAATAAGCAAAACGGATACATCTCAAACGAGAAGAAGAAGAAGAAGAAGAAGAAGAAGAAGAAGAAGAAGAAGAAGAAGAAGAAGAAGAAGAAGAAGAAGAAGAAGAAGAAGAAGAAGAAGAAGAAGAAGAAGAAGAAGAAGAAAAAGAAGAAGAAGAAGAAGGAGGAGAAGAAGAAACAGAAGAAGAAGAAATAAAATAGATAAATTGAACAAACGGATATAGAAAGCTAGATAGTGACTAGTGGTTTATGTTACCTGTCGTCTTTTTTGTTGTTATCTGGTCTCAACAGGATCGAATACACTTCACCGTGTTTTATCCTGAATAACTTAGTCTCTCTCCGCAGAATGACAAGTTGAATAAATATAGCATCACACATAGCATTAACTCCGTAGCTACAGAGACAATCTTCTGGGATCTCAGGACAAGTGCACTCGTGAACCGAATACCAAAGTTCGTGACACGATCTCGCGACCTTCAGAGACTGAATTTCAGACACTCCTCCTATTGCCTAGCTAGAAACTCTAGAGTAGCTTTTAGGTGGCATGCGAAATAAGAAACAGTAATAAAGGCAGCCGTGTGGAGCTTTTCAGTCTTATGGCTGGCGGTCTGTTGTTTGCAATATAATAGTCTACAATTAATCTTTTTGTCTGCGGCGGCTTAACTCTTTGAGTCCCAGAGGGTTTAGCATCACGGCCCAAGGGGTAGCAAAAAGAGACATAGAATCTGCGCATCATGCGTTCAATGGGCTTCTAGGTAGGAACCTATGAAAGTATGATGCGTTCCTTGGGACTCAAAGAGTTAAAAACGGATTCTTCCAAATTAACCCTCATCCTTCCAATGTCCCCTTCTACCCCATTACCTCTGGAATAAATTAAAACCCTAAACACACAGAAGCTTATCATTTTCTGCCATGTAGAGCTAGCTGCAAAGTGATCACGCTTCACTACCAATACCTGTCTACAAACAGGCAAATTGCTTTCTCAAGGTCAAATTTCTGGCTGAGAATAACAGGGAGTATCCAACTAAGGTCTGATTCCCTATGAGGCAGTGATTCCCAAACTGTGCGCCGCGGCGCTCCGGAAAGTCGCAACCTATTCACAGGGGCTACGCGAAATATTCGAAGATACACGAGTTTTTTATAAAATCTCTCACATAAGAATAGTCCTACTTTTACTTAGGTTAGGGCGCCATGGAAAATTTTCAATTGAAAAAAAAATAAAAAACCCGCGACTAAGAAAGGTTTGGGAAACTCTGCTATGAGGTAATAAGCAGGGCTACCAATACTGGAGTTCCCCCCGCCCCACCACCCCCCCCTCCCAAAGATCTTGGTTTTCATGTGACGCCTTTAGGGAAATCTGTCCCCCCCCCCCCCCCCCAATATATCCTTATATAAAAGTAGTAAATATTTCGTTTTGTAACTATACATTTTGTACATTTAAACAATCTGGGTTTTTTTTAATTGTTTTTTTTTTTTAAATTCTTTGCTAATGTATTACTTGGGTTTTTGTTCAGCTTAGCTGGGTTTTTAAAAATAAATTCCCATTGGCAGCCTTGGCAATACGTACAGTCGCTGACGGAGAGTGGTAAAAAAAAAAGATACAAGCCAACGAGTACCGTCTTCAGATGGTTCGCTGTCACCGCAGCAGCCACAGCACGAACAGAAGATCAGCTTGAAGGCAGCCTTGGGTAAGCCAATGATGTTTAGAGGTGCCGGTAGCGTCCCACCGTCACCGATGTAGTCCATGTAGAGAAGGCTCCTGGCAAACTTCCATTCACGATCTGAGTCTTCCTGCAAGAGCCAGCAGTAAATGAGGTCAACGCTGGAACATGCAGAAACTGATGCACTGAATACTTTCTCAAGTTGGCTGCATAACCTTTAACTTACTTCGCAAACTTTTTAATTAGCGGTTCTGTATTTTGTCTAAGCAATGTTACGTTAAGTAGTTGGCCCTTCTTCCCTAACAGATTAAACAAAGCCCATAATGTTGCCAGAATAAAAATAAAGTGTCCTGTTCTCAAACAGCCTGCATATCAGGCTCCGGTATGCCAGGATTGAGAGACTATTTTCACAATCACTAAACCATAGACACCGACTTGCGTTTCTTTAAATTTCAAATAATGTAGCTAAAAGATAATGAATGAGCTCCTTGAAGTGTCATTACCTGGCAGACCAATATCACGCAGTAGACCTTTTTTTTTGCCGAACATCTTCCACACACGGAAACTCACCCGATTTCCTGCCAAATTTCCCGTCTCAAAAACGGTCATGTCCAGAGTCTGTTTGACATCGTTTATCTAGACTCTTGCTGGTTGTCACCTGTCTCTTTTTTTTTTAGGAACCACATCCTTCTATTTCTCCAAACCATTATGGCGTTTAATATGACCGAATTGTGTCAATTTTCAAAGAAAAACCTATAGTGTTTAAAAACCAGTCTCCGACACCCCCCCCCCCCCTCCGGCATCCCCTTGATATTTAGCTCGTTATAGAAGTGAATACTAATACCTTTCTGGGCCCACAACACTGAATGAATCTTTCTGTAAAGTTTAAATGTTCAAAAGCAATGATTCCTGACAGGCTAGTTCAATAAAATAATCGATCTTGTTAGCAATTTGAATCTATGACCATCCATCGAACAGACAAACGTACTAGCCACTGTGCTTAGTGGCTCTAAGTAATGAACGGAGGCACGGACATATTCTAGAGAAGGTCAAGGAAAACTTACCGCAATGAGGGTGAACGACCGACTCATCATGGCGATCAGCATGTTTAACAGCACCGTTACCATGGCAACATTGTAGGCGCCATATAGGATATAGCCGATATCCTCGGTGAATGTATTGTTGTAGCCTCCAAGCTTGACAGCTTCCGGCTCCCCGCGACCAAACAACGACCAGAACACCGTACGGAATGTCTCGATGAAACTGTAAAAGGAGAGGAAACAACCGCAAGCCAGTTAGAGCTAATATAGCTTCTGTGTAAGGTGCAGTGTTCAATGTTCAGTGTTCCTAATGTCTAGTACAATGTGTTTGTCTGGTACCATATGTATGTCCAGTGCCGTGTGTTTGTCTGGTGCCATGTCTGTGTCTGGTACAACGTCTATATGGCTGGTGCCATATGTATGTCCAGTGCCATGTGTTTGTCTGGTACCATATGTATGTCCAGTGCCGTGTGTTTGTCTGGTATCATATGTATGTCCAGTGCCGTGTGTTTGTCTGGTATCATATGTATGTCCAGTGCCGTGTGTTTGTCTGGTATCATATGTATGTCCAGTGCCGTGTGTTTGTCAGGTATCATATGTATGTCCAGTGCCGTGTGTTTGTCTAGTGCCATGTCTGTGTCTGGTACAATGTCTATATCTGGTACCAGATCCACAATATATTCCTATCCACTCTGTCAAATGCTTTCTCCTGGTCTATAAATGCGACTTTGCATGTCTTGTCATACTCCATTGCTCTTTCTGTCAACTGTCTTAATATATATATATGCATACTTCCTGTCCTTTTTAGGATGCAATTTTTCGTTATTTAAAGCCATACTCTGACAATATAGCCTGGCCATAAATAAATATGGTCTAAAGGCTGAACGCGGTTTCTGGGACCTCTCCACGGTGATCCCCACCCACTTGGTGGCACATTGTGTCATCAGGTGTTTATCGCTTGTGTGATGTACTGGTAGGGTAGAAAGTCAGTCATGTATATATTGTGTCATCAGGTGTTTATCGCTTGTGTGATGTCCTGGTAGGGTAGAAAGTCAGTCAGTCGGTCATGTATATGTTGTGTCTCGGGTTTGTTTGCCATGTCTGTGTCTTGTGTCTGTACTGGTAGGGTAGAAAGTCAGTCAGTCGGTCATGTATATGTTGTGTCATCGGGTGTTTATTGCTTGTGTGATGTCCTGGTAGGGTAGAAAGTCAGTCAGTCGGTCATGTGTATGTTGTGTAATCGGGTGTTTATTACTTGTGTGATGTACTGGTAGGGTAGAAAGTCAGTCAGTCAGTCATGTATATACATTGTGTCATCGGGTGTTTATTACTAGTGTGATGTACTGGTAGGGTAGAAAGTCAGCAAGTCAGTCATGTATATATTGTGTCATCGGGTGTTTATCGCTTGTGTGATGTACTGGTAAGGTAGAAAGTCAGTCAGTCAGTCAGTCATGTATATATTGTGTCATCGGGTGTTTATCGCTTGTGTGATGTACTGGTAGGGTAGAAAGTCAGTCAGTCAGTCATGTATATATTGTGTCATCGGGTGTTTATCGCTTGTGTGATGTACTGGTAGGGTAGAAAGTCAGCGAGTCAGTCATGTATATATTGTGACATCGGGTGTTTATTGCTTGTGTGATGTACTGGTAGGGTAGAAAGTCAGCGAGTCAGTCATGTATATGTTGTGTCATTGGGTGTTTATTACTAGTGTGATGTACTGGTAGGGTAGAAAGTCAGCGAGTCAGTCATGTATATGTTGTGTCATCGGGTGTTTATTGCTTGTGTGATGTACTGGTAGGGTAGAAAGTCAGCGAGTCAGTCATGTATATATTGTGTCATCGGGTGTTTATCGCTAGTGTGATGTACTGGTAGGGTAGAAAGTCAGTCAGTCAGTCATGTATATGTTGTGTCATCGGGTGTTTTTTTACTAGTGTGATGTACTGGTAGGGTAGAAAGTCAGTCAGTCAGTCATGCATATATTGTGTCATCGGGTGTTTATTGCTTGTGTGATGTACTGGTAGGGTAGAAAGTCAGCGAGTCAGTCATGTATATGTTGTGTCATCGGGTGTTTATTACTAGTGTGATGTACTGGTAGGGTAGAAAGTCAGTCAGTCAGTCATGCATATATTGTGTCATCAGGTGTTTATCTCTTGTGTGATGTACTGGTAGGGTAGAAAGTCAGCGAGTCAGTCATGTATATGTTGTGTCATCGGGTGTTTATTACTAGTGTGATGTACTGGTAAGGTAGAAAGTCAGTCAGTCAGTCATGCATATATTGTATTATCAGGTGTTTATCGCTTGTGTGATGTACTTGTAGGGTAGAAAGTCAGCGAGTCAGTCATGTATATGTTGTGTCATCGGGTGTTTATTACTAGTGTGATGTACTGGTAGGGTAGAAAGTCAGTCAGTCAGTCATGTATATATTGTGTCATCGGGTGTTTATCACTTGTGTGATGTCCTGGTAGGGTAGAAAGTCAGCGAGTCAGTCATGTATATATTGTGTCTGTGCAGTTTCTGTTACGTCTGAAACCCATTTAGGTTTCTGAAAGTTGTTCTTCTTAATCTTCTTTCAGTTAATGTAGTATGCACTTTCCCTGTGCGGCTTAATAGTGATATTTCTCTGTAATTAATGCACTCTTTCGTACTCACTTTATTTTTCCAAATCGGTTTAGTGATTGCTGTTTGCCAGTCACCTGGTGTTTCTTGTTCTAGCCAGACAGTCTAGGAAATTCGCCAAACCTCATTCTTTCGCCATTTCCGTTTATCTCACTTTTGTTACCTCCACAGTTTTCTAGAAATCTTGAGAATGCTCTCCTGTTGTTTCCTACTTTGCCATTGAAGTCTCCAATTTTAAAAAGTTTATTTGTTGGATCAGTTTTAGAAATTACATCGCTCAGTTCATCGAAATATTTTCTAATCCTTCTTCGCTGTAATTTCCATTGCAGGGTGCGTAAACTTGAATGTAGGTTTCTGTTCTTCTGTCTGTTTGTATTTTGATACATATAGTAACTATATTATAGTTCCTTCAGATACGTAACACAAATGTATAAAATGTTAATTGCGATCTTGGAGTCAATGATGAAACCTACTCTATGTTTTGCATGTTGAGTCTTGTCTATACCAGAGTATGATATCAATACAAAATCTTTGTGTAACCTTTTTGTCCCTTTGTCAAAGCTAACGTCACAGATCCGATATTAGCTTACTTCCCTAGTGTTCCATACGGCAAAGTCAGTGCACCCGTTTCTTTGACTGTAGCAGTGACAGCAAAGGTTTGGCATGTCCTGGCATTAGATCACCCCCAACGGTGTGTGTCTACTGGTTACAGATACCCTTCTCGCTACGGGCACATCTCCGTGGCTCAGTGGCCAAGGTATTTTTCTTCTCGATCTGGGGGGCATAGGGTTGTTTGATGGACTTTATCATTCGGGTCAAGAGATTTCCGAAGATCGTTACTGAAGCAACGGAGTTCGTGCCTTGTGCGACGCTCTTGGCAGTCGGTTAGCCGTTCTTTGGAGAGAGAGATGGAGAGAGACAGAAAGAGAGAGGAGATATATATATATATATATATATAGAGATGGAGAGAGAGATGGAGAGAGAGAGATGGAGAGAGAGAGACCGGGCCATCTGAGATAAAACACTATGCAACGAAGCGACACCTCTCGACTTAAAACCGTTCAGTGCCTGGATTGAGAGCACAGTATATTAATGTGCAGAGAGAGAGAGAGAGAGAGAGAGAGAGAGAGAGAGAGAGAGAAGAGAGAGAGAGAGAGAGAGAGAGGAGAGAGGAGAGAGAGGAGGGAGGGAGAGCAGTTGGATTTAACAAAAAAATTTGGAGAAGTGTTTCAACGTATGTGCTCAGAATCATAGATCTGAGAAAAGATAGATACAGCTAAGTACGAGAGGTACACAATTACCCGCAGCTCGCTGGTGTATATGTTGAGAGGTGGTAAAGCACACGTGGACGTGAGAACTATTGTGAGAACTACCAAACTGATTCTACATGTATTACTTATCGTTCTAACAAGGTGGCCAAACCATTTGATCTTCTCATTAATGAGAGGCAAGGTTTTGTTTCACCGCTTTGTCTGATAGTATCATTTCTCACTAGGTCTCAAATGGTTAAGATGATGACTGCTGTTATTGTGGGATAAATAATGCCTAGTATAAACTATGACGCATTTAGTATGCACTTAATATAAGTCTACCAAGCTTACATATCGCTACAAACATACACAGTTGAACGAGCTTTATCGAGCTCTCCTTAAACAATGATGATAGACCTAAATAATCACTAATAATGATGATGAACTAATCTTATACCAAACTTGTGAAGGTACATACCCCCCAAAGCTTTTCTCTGCACGCACTTCACCTTCTTTAGGTCGACCGGGCAAGTCGAGCTCAATAAACTTCCGTTCACTGTAGTACCAGAAAAGGTTGTGAAGGCCCACCATGAATGCTAGGATGACCAGCACAAACAAGGCCAGGAACTTAGCAATGTCCTGTTGGTTTCATTAGAAGGGACACAAGCAAATTAACCAGCCTCTCATGACACAATACACATTGCATAGACTATATCTGCCACTACAGCAGGTAACATGAATGAGCCGGCCTCTCATAACACAATCATCATCATCACCAGGTGCATTGCAGACTGGCGTGGACGATCATGCCTCTCCAATAATCCACGATCTCCTGCAGCATATATCAGTTCATGTGCCGACACACCTCCATGCCATGCAACAAGACTGTCAAGAATCTTCTCTCGTTGTATTCCTCTATCCCTCCGTCCACAGATCTTTCCAATGGTCACAACATGTTCTATTTTCCCTCTTCTCCTAACATGGCCGAAAAATTATGACTGTCTCCTTCTGATGTCTGTGATAAGTTGTCTTCGGGCTCCCGCCTCTTTCAAAACCTTTTGGTTGCTCTTTTTGGCTGTCCAAGGTATTCTAAGCATTCTTCTGTAAAACCACATCTCTGAGGCCTCAAAAAAATTGTTTGGCCTGCCTACCGATTGTCCAGGATTCACATCCATATGTTTAAAACTGGATGTATGTAGCAAGCAATAATTCTTTTTCTAACTCTCAATGACAAAGATATATTGCACAAGATATTCTTCATTTTATAAAATGCAGTTTTTGCCTGTCCTATTCTGTTTCTTATGTCAGTTATGCATCTTCCATCTGATGTTATCCATGTGCCAAGATACTTAAATTTCTGTACTTTTCCTAAAATAACACCATCGACTTTTATTACACATTTAGGAATAATTCGTTTCTTTGATACCACCATTACTTATGTCTTCCCATTATTAAAACTGAGGCCCGTTCTTCCCCTTTCTAACACCACAATAACTATCATTTCCTGTAGTTCTTTCTGACATGTTGCTATTAAGACTGTGTCATCAGCATAACGTAAATTGTTTATATTGTGCTCACCAACCACAATTCCGGGAATATCAATTAAAGCTCTCATTATATATTCACTGTATATTGACAACAATTCAGGTGATAGGACACATCCTTGTCGTACGCCCCTCTTTATGCTTTGAAATGTACCTAAACAGTTGTTAATTCTTATAGCTGCTGTTTACTGCCAATACATATTCTTTATTATTTGTAGATATTTCCCATCAATGTTTAATTTTTCTAACAATTTGATTACTTCGTCATGCTTCACACAGTCAAATGCTTTTGTATAGTCTATGAATCATAAGTACAAATCAGTCTTTACTTCTATTTCTCTTTCTGACGATGTCCTTCCTTAGGATGTATTTGGCATTGTTTGTACTTTTTTCTTCTACAAATCTACATTGTTCATCGCTGATTTCTGGTTTAATTTTGTTTCTTATTCTTCTCATAATTATTCGCAGTAAAATCTTAGTCATGTGACTCATAAGACTTTTTGTGCGATGGTCTTCACATTTTAAAGTGCTTGGTTTCTTTGGCAGAGCTATAAATATGGATTTTAAAAGGTAACACAATACACATTGCAAAGACTATCTCTGCCACTAAAGAAGGCAACATGAATGAGTCGGCCTTTCATAACACAATACACAATGCAAAGACTATCTCTGCCACTACAGCAGGTAATGAGGCGTTTGAGATAAAGCCAGCACACAATTTCAAACAATAAAACAAGTCAGTTTGTGAAAACTTCAGACGGCCATGACAGTCGAATAAACGTAGGCTCTCATCACAACATCACAACAAGAGATAGGTCATCTGCCAATTTTCCCGCCTGGTAACATTTATACATAGGGTGTCTTTGATCACCTTCGTCCACCACCCTCGCGCTGGTCTTCCCATGAATGTTTTGTCACAAACCATACCCTGCAGTAAGGTTCTCTCCAAACCATTATCGCCTGTGATATGGTCAAAGTAGGTAATATTTCGAGAAACGATAAGGTCTATAAGCCAGTTGCCCCCACCCCCTCGATGTTTACATGGTAAAGCATGTCATGATTTTTCTTTTTTTTTACACGCTTTAGATCCACGAACAAAAACTGAATACATCTCTTAGTTCAATCTCCAGAGATGTGCTTCATTCAGAAAGTTACCTTCGGAAGATTCCATTGTCTTTATATGATAAACTTGGTCTATTAAACCAAATTCATGTAGTTTAAATGTAAGAGAGTCAAAAGTCACCTACCTTCATCATGCGCCCCAGTCAAAGGTCACCTACCTTCATCATGCGCCCCAGTCAAAGGTCACCTACCTTCATCATCGCCCCAGTCAAAGGTCACTTACCTTCATCATGAGCCCCAGTCAAAGGTCACTTACCTTCATCATGCGCCCCAGTCAAAGGTCACTTACCTTCAACATACGCCCCAGTCAAAGGTCACTCACCTTTATCACGCGCCCCAGTCAAAGGTCACTCACCTTCATCACGCGCCCCAGTCAAAGGTCACTCACCTTCAACGTGCGCCCTAGTCAAAAGTCACTCACTTTCATCATGCGCTCCAGTTAAAGGTCACTCACCTTCATCATGCGCCCCAGTGAAATCTGCAGAGGTCCTAAAATTTCATTAGCCGGCAGTAAATATGAGATGCGGAAGAAACTTAAAATGTTTGCAATAGCAAAAGTTCCTTCTAGTACGTTCATGGGGTCAAATGGAATCCAATAGATACGATCTGCAGGAAGAAACAATTGGACCTACATTTATGAAATTGCAAGGAATCAAACATGGTTGTCTACGGAAACGAGAATACAGCATCCGGCAGTTAAAATGACATGTAAAACTTATAAATGATAGGTTATGTGCAACTAAGTAAGTTGTACCCCGCCAGGACATCACACAAGCGATAAACACCCAGTGACACAAAGTACCATCATGCGCATGAGGATCCCCTGTGGAAAGGTCCTGGAAACCCCGATCAGTCGTTAGGCCATATTTCAGGCCCGGCTATATTTAGGGCCCCCGGCAAAAGCCAGGGTGGGGCTTCAAAATAACTAAAAATTGCATCCCACAAAGGATCGACGCTATATATAGTATATGATTATGCCTACGTGTTACAAGTTTTGAAAATTAACAGACTGGGAACAAAAGACGGCAAACACGATTACACGTATATTTTTACGTTATGAGTGACATAAAAATAACCAAGACAGAATTGATTATAAGTTTGTCGCATAAGTTATCATTTATGAGGCAAACATTATGTTCACAGCACAACCATGCATGAATGAATAAAGAATTAACATCTCTGCACTTGGAACATTCAATCACGTGCTTCGTCTCCTTTTTCAGTAGCTAAAGAAGACATGTTAATAGTACCAGCTGTAACCTGATTAAAAGTCCGTCTCTGTTTCCCCTTCCATGTTGAATATCTTTCAGAATCTCTACTCAACCACTGTTGAATTAGTCTTTTACTGTATGGATTCCCTGTATGGATTGCATTATCCATTTGATCCTATAGAGCCTTTACCGCACTGCTTTTTCATATTGTAGCTTACTGCCCAGATGAGCGGTAGCAGCCAATCTATCAGTCTGATAGTTACCTCGCACACTTAATTATCCTTAACAGAAAATCTACGCTACGCTCTTGCTTGCGGCGTCCGTGGCTAAGGCGGTGCGAGTCTGACTTGTAATCCAACTTACCGCGATGGATTCCCTGCGTGGATTTCCTGTATGGATTGCGTGGATTTTTATCGTGGTATGGGGACGATTTTCCGCAGGTAGACCCAGCCTCAAATGGGTACCAGGATGGGCTGTCCTGGGAAAGTAAAGGCGGCTGGCGTAATGCTGACCACATTACCCACCGAGTGCCGATTGGTCTATAAAAATATGGGTGCTCTTCCCATATGCCCGATGCGCCTAAGGCGTGAAAAGGGATCTTTACTTTACTTTACTTACGCTCTCGCTTATCAAGTGATGCAAGCCGCTGTGAGCGCAGAACACCAGTTCCAATTTTCCGAAGCATGCTATGTGAGTCTGTTACAATCTCAACATGTCGGGTTGTGCTTTCCTTAAGCCATCAGAAAGCTGACGATACTGACTCCACCTCTCTTCTTATACTGGATTTAGTGGCATTGTGCACAAGGTTCTCTGCTTTCAAACATTGTCCCTTCATCTTTGCAATAAAACCTCTCCACACAAACAAAAACATGCATACCCATTCATAGGTTTTGGTACCTTTTCTACACACAAATATTTGGTAGTATTCCGAAAAGAATTTTGGACAGCCTTTCTCCATAGTACATCAGTTCTTTTTTTTTGGCCATCAGTTGACATCATTGTTTTTCATGTAGTAGGTTCTCTACATAACGTCGGTCTCATTACGATCAGCCCAGGGACACTTTCGCACTCTTCTACCTCCCACATGTGTGGGCCATGATGTGCTTAAAATCCCGTGTCGACATTCCTCCCGGTTGCCCCTTGCCCCTTCCTCCAAGAATCATGAGATTCTTTACTGTTTCTATGCCAATGTGTTTCCCCTATATGCTCAGGTTTGTTCAGTTTTAGGTAGACGGTCCTGTTTTGACTAGATACAGAGAACACACGGAAAGTTACCTGCATTCAGCCAATACAGATGGGACACAGTTTCCTCCACATTCTGTGTCAGATTGTGGTTGGTCAAGAATTCCAGAGACACATGAAACTGTAAACAATGAGTCGATAAATCTTTAGGCACATGAAACTGTAAACAATGAGTCGATAAATCTTTAGGCACTAGATACTGAGAACACATGAGTCGATAAATGCTTCAGACCAATAACAGACTCAAACAATGAGTCGATAAATCTTTAGACACAGACTGAAACAATGGTCAAGAATCTTTAGACACATGAAACTGTAAACAATGAGTCGATAAATCTTTAGACACATGAAACTGAAACAATAAGTCCATAAATATTTAGACACATGAAACTGAAACAATGAGTCGATAAATCTTTAGACACATGGAAACTGAAACAATGAGTCGATAAATCTTTAGACACATGAAAATGAAACAATGAGTCGATAAATCTTTAGACACATGAAACTGAAACAATGAGTCGATAAATCTTTGGACACATGAAACTGAAACAATGAGTCGATAAATCTTTAGACACATGAAACTGAAACAGTTAATGTTGACATTTCTGTTACTGTCTGTGATGTCAAGGCGGCGATTAAACATGAATGACCCAATTACTTAAGCGCTGACATTTCTTCGAAACTGACGCTGACAAATGTGTAACACTACACACATATTACCTATTTCAGTTCAAAACATTATATAATTAAGTGAACTAATAATTATTAGTTATGTTATATTAAAAAAAAAATTAGTGGCACAATCAGATTAATTTTTTTAAATGTTTTACATGGGAGTAGGCCTTGCTTATGACACTGCAAATATATAACTTATTATATAGTCAAATACAATAAGAGAGACCTATTTTCATTGATGTGCCAGGAAATGCGATTTATAATACTTCTTCAGCATGGCTCATTGTTGCTTACAGGCTATTCTTATCAGAGATTATCAAACCATGTTGCTCTTTTATTAAATGCAGGACTGGTTTCAGTTTTATTCTAATATCTTGTTTTTCAATTCAGCCTCTTCTTGGTTCCGCTCTTTTGAGATATCTCATCTCTGTAGTTATGGTTTTGCACTCATTAATTGTTATAAGGGTCCATTTTTTACACTGGTAGCATCAAATTAAGAAAAAATATGTTTTGCCTCGGTAGACAAAGGTATCTTTTTATATGTCAAAGGGGATTTTAGTTGTCCCAGTAACTGATTTACTTTTGCATATCATATGTTGATTTCTCTATTCACTAGCCATTCTGATGTGAAAATTGACCTTGGCCAAATTCACTTGTTTAAAATCTCTGTGATTTACTAACTATTGCGGAGGCCTCGCAGCGGCGTCCGTGGCTTAGGCGTTGCGAGTCCGACTCGTACTCCAACGTACTGCGATCGAAACCCACTGCTGGCTGCGTGAATTGTTATCATGGTATGGGGCGTCGCAGGTCGACACAGCCTAAAATGGGTACCAGGATGGCTGTCCCCAGGAAGTAAAGACGGTCGACGTAATGCTGACCACATTACCCATCCAGTGCCAATTGGTCTGTAAAAATATGGGACGCTCCTCTCATATGCCCGATGCGCCTAAGGCGTGAAAAGGGATCTTTACTTTACTTGACTTGACTTAGGCCTCACGAAGGCGGACTGTAATTCCGTGATAGCCTGTTCGATTTGCACTGCGTTAATTTCGACAACGATATCGAGAGCTGACAGTCTAGAGAGCTATGGCACACTTCTGAAAGTAAAATTGCCTAGTGAAATCACAAATAGCTAACAGACGCTGGGTTGTTTGATTTTGCAGAGCCTTATAAAGGATACTCAACTTATTTACTTTGTTCACATGCTGTCTGGTTGTCGATCCTTTATCTCTGTCTTTTCTTCTCGTGTGGGTCTTATTGTAGGGAAAACAAAAGCAGACCCACTGCCTGCCCAACAAGCATGTCATAGGAGTCGACTAATGAGGTCATCTTTTGAAGTCGGAGTACAGCTGCTTGAGATGCAAGGAACCAAAAGTCGGGTACTGAACATCGAGAACATTTCGCTGCAGTTTACAGCCGGTGAACGCGAAGAGGAAGGCTGTATCTTTACAATGTTTATTGTCATATTATATTTCTAACACTTGGTGTTGATTTGATTTAGATCTTACAGAGGCTCTCTTTTGTGTCTGCTTGAAATAATTGGTCATTGCCAATAGCAATTCCGAAATATCATTTATATCTTTGTGAAAGGTGGCTGAGACAGCATACATCCCTGTTGTGTGTCTGAATTTATTAATCAAATATGCCCCAAATTGGGAGGCGATGTTTTTGTTATTTTAAAGCCTAACGGTTAAACGGGGTTTCTGTGACTTGCGCTAAGGAGGATTCTTATTCGAATGATGGCACTTTGTGTCACAGTGTGTTAATCGCTGGCAGTGCAGTCCTGGTAGGGTTAAACGTCACTCACACACCTGTTCCTGAATTTACTTTCAACAAGTTTCGATGTATGATTTGTTTCGTTGTTCGAACGCAACTTTTACCTCATGTGTATAAAGTCTTGCAGTCTTCCATAAGATGGTTACTAATTACAAAAGAGAACTTTAAAAAAAGGATATAGGAAAAGAAGTGGGGCAAAAAAAAGCAGACATTTTATGATTACTCACCTTATAGATCACCCAAAATTTCATTGTGAAAATAGCTATGTAAATGCTTAAAACGGCAAAATCAAGGAGATTGTAAAAATCCAGCATATGTTCCACAAAGCCTTTATAATAGATCTGGTTACACTCTTGACAGACCATACCTGAAATAAAATAAAACATGACGATTGTATCCACCCTCAGTAATAAATAACAAAGTCATAAAGGGACGGGTATTTGCCTAGAATATACGGCATCCAATGGACTGGGTATTTGCAGAATCAAACACGACGCAGTTTCATATTGTAAAAACTCTATACGTTGACTACCCAAAAGCAATAGCAAACTGGTCAATTTACAGAGGTGGCCATTTAAAGGAACCAGGCTTGAAATTGTTGATACTCTACTTGTCTTAGCAACTTTTATTGGAGAATCCAGTTTCACATGAAATCACACACAATCACAATATCAAATCATCAATATCTGTTTTGCCACGGATTCATCATTCTTTCTTCAAAACAAAACAAAAAGGTAACCTAGGTCTGTCTTCTTCTTCTTATAAACATTAGTTGAATGATGAATTAAGAATCGATATCATAGCACTCGGGACAGTCCCATAAGCGCTCCGTCCCCAGCTTCAGCAGCAAACGAAAAGTTCAAATTCCGATGGCACCAATAACTGATTGTATATTCCGTCCCGCCCTTCCCTTGAGTGTTGAGCGTCGGCGACCAAACTGTGTTCGAATGAATATTTTTTTGATAACCTGATCTGTTTAGAATCTTTCTGTTGCATCAGATGGCCATAAAAGAGTTAGAGAACCAACGTGTATACAGTTATCTCGTGGTTACCACATGAAGTAGCAGAGTGTTAAATTTGTCTTGTCTGTAAAATTGCGGACAAATCTAAGAATGTCCTAACATTTTCTACAGACACTCAGATATTCTCGTGAAATGAGGATGTATAATGCAGTACATATGAAGGATGCGCTTTTTAAATTCCGGCAAGCACACATGCACGCACGCGGCGTCCGTGGCTTTGGTGTTGCTAATCCGACTCGTAATTCCAACGTACCGCGATCGAAACCCACTGCTGGCTGCGTGGATTTTTATCATGGTATGGGGCGTCGCAGGTCGACTCAGCCTAAAATCGGGTACCAGGATGGCTGTCCTAGGGAAGTAGAGACCGCCGGACATAATGCTGAACCACATTACCCACCTAGTGCCGATGGTCTGAAAAAATATGGGCGCTCTTCCCATATACCCGATGCGCCTAAAGGCGTGACAGGTGATCTTTACTTACTTTACTTTACTTACACATGCACGCACACACACTGACAGATAACACCTGTGCTCAAGCTACAGAAGGTAAAGGACTACTGTGTGTCACAGTGCAAGTGGTCAAGATACAACATGCAGAGATGGCCAACATTTAGAGGTAGGCTTCCACTGAGAAAATAAGGTCACCTTCCGGATGTGGTCAATATATTGAGGTGGTCAACTATGGGAGTTCTACTGTGTATATAAAAACAATGGTCATATGCGGCTTTGAAACGCAAATTACAACTACAAAAGAGGAAGCTTTAATTGTAACCTGAAAAGCATGGTTGTGGCAAAAAGAGAGACTAGCAGATAACAGGGAGACAAAAACTGTGTACAAAAAAAAAAAAAAAAGAGCTGAATGGGAGTAGACGACGAAGCTGATAACGTACAGGCAAACCTACAAACACTTGGAGTCACCAATGGAAAGAGAATGCCAATCACAGAGAAGAATAAATGCGTTTTACTGCAGCAATAAATCTCAAGGTCTCGAAAAGCTGACAACAACGAACATCGACGAAGAAGAAGAAGAACAAGAACAAGAAGAACAAATCCCAGTTTTTCAATATGAAGATAAATGCGTCTCATTGATATCGAGAAGGTAATTCTAGCCACTTGTGCAGGATATACATTATAGTCACTCACCAATAATCCACAAACTCATCAAATATTCGGTGATTCGAGGACAGTCAGCTCTCAAGGGAAAGTCTTCGTCGTAGACCGTGTTGTTACTCACTGTACAGAAGTGTGTATACCTGGAGATAGCCAAAGACATGGTATCGCTTAAGTCAGCTATTTATCGTACATTTATTCAAGAGACATGGTAAAGTGTGGACATATTTTCAAGGCATAAGGAAGTATCTGTTACCTGTCATGTTTTTAAAGAAACCATAAGCGTGTCCTGAGAATTATAGGTGACAGTGATTATCGAACAGTGTTCACAACTCCTCACATAATTCACACACTCAACAAAACAGTACGGAAGAGACTGCTGGACAATGACGAGTTGAGTTGAGTCAAGAATTGACATCACAGCACTCGGGGCATTCCCATGCATGCTTCGTCCAGCAACCAGCGCATAGTTCCAATACTAATGGTACGGGTCACAATCTGGTTATATGTTCATCTTGCTTTCCTCTGAGTGTAGTGAGCCGGCTAGACCCTCTGGTTACACCCAGGTGCCTCATTCTCTCCAGGCCATAATAATCTTGTTTCTCTACTGATCCCGTGGCCTGTTCTTAAAGGGCCTTGACCACATCTGCTTTGTCATGTATCAATTCATCACCCAGTGGTGCAGATCCAGCCCATCTGTCTGGCTGTTTATTACCAACCCCACCGGCATGGCCTGGAGAAAAGATCCAAAGTATGCTCACTACCCGTGACCTTTCCAGTGAAGTTTGCCACTGTGCTAGGAAGCATCCCTGTCTTCACCTTTCTCAGCATGCTTTCAGGGTCTGTTACAATTACATCATGTGTATGCATCTTGTTGTCTAGCCACCGGAGAGCTGCAGCAACCGCTTCCATCTCCATTCTCCTGTTAGACGTTGTAGTGTCGTATGCCCACCAGGACCGCAATACCAGCGATTAACACAAGGTGACAGAGCCTTTTAGGGATAATATTATGTAATTTATTTGAATTTCCAAACAAATTGTGTCAAAAAAAAAAAAAAAAAAAAAAAAAAAGGTAGCGGACATTGTACAGCAATCAGCGGTGACTGACTGACTTTCTACCCCACTAGGACATCACACAAGTGATAAACACCCGATGATACAAAGTGCCACCATGTGGATGAGGACCGCCGTGAAGAGGTCTTAGAAACCGCGTTCAGACAATAGGCCATATTTATGGCCTGTCTATATTGCGGCCCCTGGCAAAAGCCAGGGTGGGGCTTCAAATAAAAAAAAAAATTTCGTCCTAAAAAGGACGAAACTGGATAAGAATCAGCGGTTGTCATTGAAAACGGTAGCGACCTCAGGGCTTTGTAAAACTTATGGCTTCAAGTCTACATCTAAGCCCTGCAGTGTATAAAAAAAAAGTTACACGTTTGGTGCATTTCGTTTGCTCTTGGTAAACCAGGCACGTTGTTAGTCACATCAAGGTGAGTTGTCACAACCACCTCCATCTTTTTATCTCACACAGCTGGTGGGTATACAGAGGCCGTGGTAATACAGTGACTAGTGCGTATGGCCGTGTTGCCGGTTATTTCCCCTGAAATAGCAGCTGTTTTCCACCCACCAGTACCGCATTGAGGGCACCAGCTAGTCTGGTAGAAATGGGAACCAGACACTATACAGAATTGTCTGGGAATAAAAGGATGCGAGGAAGGGAACTGACCACCAAGGTTGTATGTTGTGGTCTAGTCAATGTGAAGGTCAAACCTTCACATCACGACAGAATCTACTATGGAATTACCGACCAGGACATCACACCGAGCGATAAACACCCAAAGTGTCATCATTCGAATGAGGATCACCCAGGGACAGGTCTCAGAAACCCCGTACAACCCATAGGTTGGGTTATATTAGGGCCCCTGGCAACAGCCAAGGTGGGGCTTTAAAACAACAACAACCTCATCATCGACAACAACAACAACAATAACAACACACAATGCGTCCGACATTGTGATGCAGGTATGTTTTTTTTTTTCTTTTTCTAACCTTTATTCTTAGACACATAGACCCTATTCCGCCCTCCATAGATATGAGACACAATTCGCGATGTTCAACAGCACGAATATTTAGGCAATACCTGAACACACTCGCACACACACACACACACACACACACACACAAGAACACACACACAACGCACAAGAACACACACACACAAGAACACACACAAGAACACACACACACAAGAATACACACACTAACACACAGACACACGAGCACCTACTCTGTATAAAGAAGCGGGTAGTGAGACTTGAGGGTACGAATCTTGCTGACGCTCTGTGCTTCCATCGTGGACACGACGATCAGCAAGAGAAATAAGATGAAAGACATGGCGTGGCAGACGAACTTCACCACCGGAAACTGCAGAATCTTTGCTCCCTTTATCATGAAACATACACAGGAAATAAACATGAAGAAGTTTATGGTTAATGTGATACACACATAAACAGTTTTCTGTGCGACAATATTGCCTGACACAAGGTCAAGAATATACAAACATGCAACCAACAGTAAACATCGTTACGTTGTTGGTGTTTAATGATTTTCACTTTTATAAGTTCGGAGTATTACAAATAAAATTGGTAAAAGTCGTTTGCCTTTCATCATTATCATTATCATCATCATCATCATCATCATAATCATCATCATCGTCGTCGTCGTCATCGCCAATATTGTTATTATCCACTTTGGCCGACAAGCGTCGCGGGGAGGAATACCTGTCAGTCAAATATTCAATTAACGGCACTGGCTATTGTAATTCCACGTTAAAGTAATAAGTTAGTGCTAGAGGTCCGTCTTCTTCGTACTCTCGAATCAAATCTCATTAGATGCAGCGTCTGTTATGTAATTGGTATTGCAGCGTTCTAGCCAGATGTTAAACTTTTTGATGTTCTCCTTCTGAAGGAAATGACACCAGTACTGGTCACACAGTCTGTCTGAAAGTGTCATTTCTGACTTAGTTTCTGATAGTTACATTGCTGACTTCCTCAGCCTTAATTAATCTCAGTAGCTTAGAAGTACGGTGGCTGTAGAAAGTGATAAAATAGGTCTACGTTTGAATAATGGGAAACATAAGTAATTGTAGTTTTCATGGTTAATGTGGTAAAGACATAAACAGTATTGCCTGAAACCAGACCAAGACTATACAAACAAGAAAACAGCAGTTAACATCGTCTCATGGAGAAACGCAATAATAGTACCTATCTGGAATACAAAAAAAGCAAGAGAGACTGTGAGAAGTGAAGAGGAGTTTTCATTACTGAGCTACACCAGGGAAAATACTTTGTAAGATTCTTGGGGAAAAAAGACTACGACCTATCATCGAACCACAACTTAGTGAAGGACACATGGAAGGGCCTGTTTCAGGGATCTCTTCATGCCCTGACGCCGCGAGGCATTCTAAAAGTGAGACAAAAAGAAAGAGATTTTAAAGAGAAGAATAGTGCCTAAATGTACAATCAAAAGTCAAAAGCGTTATATTAGGACAAGTACAGAAATGTCAGTATCTAGGCACATGGATAACATCCGATGGAGGATGTATCACAGAGATAAAGAACAGAACAGGGCAGGTAGACCAAAATTGTCTTTTATAAAATGAAGAATGTTCTGTGCAATGAATCCATGTCATTGGAGGTGGTGAAAAGAATTCTCGCATTCTAAATATAACGGGTTTTAACATTCGGCTTTGAATCTTGGACCATTAATTTAAAAAGCCAAACATTATCTTGAGGACCTTGAAGATCTGGTGTTATAGAAGAATATTCAGAATTCATTGGACAGCTAAGAAGAGCAACTCAAATGTTTTTAAAGAGCCGAATGCTTCGAAGACAACTTATCATAAACATCAGAAAGAGACAGCCATAATTGTTTTGGTCATGTTATGAGAAAAGGGAAACTGAACATGTTGTGACCACTAGAAAGATCTGTGGAAAGAGAGACAGGATAAAACAGCACGAGAAGTTTCTTAGTTAACAGTCTTTTGTCATGGCATGGAGGGGTGTCAACACACGAACTGATACATGCAGCTGCAGATCTCAGATTGTGGAGAGGGAATGATCGCCCACGCCAGTCGGCAAGGCACTTGATGGTGAGCGTTGATTTACTCAGGTAAGTTTTTATTTTGCTTTTGATTTTAATTTTTTTTTTTTAAATCCGTGGTTTGCAGCAAAAGCACACTACGGGTATAAGTTTATGACTGATAATCTGTTGGTTTGCAAACACGCCAATCTTCAACTTCTACATCAATCTATAGACAGTATAATATTTGATGAGCACTTGTGTTAGGATGGGCTGTCCTGGGAAAGTAAAGACAGCCGGCGTAATGCTGACCACATTACCCACAGAGTGCTGATGGTCTGTAAAAATATGGGACACTCTGCCCATATGCCCGATGCGCCGAAAGGCGTGAAAAGGGATCTTTACTTACTTTTTTACTTGTGTGTATGGGAGCCACTGTGTCCTAGCGGCTAAACGCTCGCCTGCGGATCGGAAGGTCGTGGGTTCGAGTCCTGACGGAATCGTGACTTTTTTTTCAAAAATGACTTTGGCTATCAGGGCGACCCAGCTTTGAGTGGGTACCAGGTACAGTCCTGGGAAGTAAAGATTGCCGGCATCATGCTGACCACATCACCCATCAAGTGCCGTTTGGTCTGTAAAATATAGGTCTAGCCCTATATACCCAACACACCCGAAGGCGGGGAAAAGGGTCCTTTAGTCTTTTGTGCGTGTACGACATTCAAAGAACGGAAGCCCCATTAGTTCCGCTGCAGGACTGACTAGAATAGGACATTTAAACAATAGTAATTAATCTTCTTTCTTGTTGAGTCATTTCACAACTAATGAACAACTCTTGAAAAGCTATGCTTTATCTCTGGCTATCTCTCTCTCTCTCTCTCTCTCTCTCCTCTCTCTCTCTCTCTCTCTCTCTCTCTCTCTCTCTCTCTCTCTCTCTCTTTCCACATCTTCCCCTTTCTCATAGAGCACATCCGTGCCATATAAAAACAACAACAAGCATAAGTGAGTACCTTGCAGTGAGGACAAAAGATGTGCATCAGCACTAAGAACGGGTAGGCACACAAGAACATCCCCAGCATCGTCAGACGTCGGGGCCAGTGAGCCCGCTCCAGTTTGCCCATCCCGTTGTACCAGGTCCTAACCACTCTCTGTTGGCAGCTGGGGTGAGCCACAAACTGAGGAGATGAGTTCGTGTCTCAGGTCAAACAGATCAGGCCATAGTTTGACAATGCCAACAATGACAATGCCAACAATGCCAACAATGCCAACAATGCCAACAATGCCAACAATGCCAACAATGTTAACAATGCTAACAATACCAACAATGCCAACAATGCCAACTATGCCAACAATGCCATTGCCTACACAAGCGATCTCAGTCTAATAATCGGTACTTTAAAAGACAGTTCTAGAGTCAACCTTGATAGTGAATTGAGAATGAAGGGCGTTCTAATATTTAAAAAACAAAATTCTTTAAAATTACAGAAGGTGACGATAGGAACTAGACTACGCATCTCCGTTTTCATCATCATCATCATCATCATCAGGTGCCTTGCCGACTGGGGTGGGCGATCATGCCTCTCCATAATCTGCGATCTCCTGCAGCATGTATCAGTTCGTGTGCCGACACACCTCCATGCCTTGCACCAAGGCTGTCAAGCATCTTCTCTCGTTGTCTTCCTCTATCTCTCCTTCCACATATCTTTCCAGTGGTCACAACATGTTCTCTTTTCCCTCTTCTCGTAACATGGCCGAAAAATGATGACTGTCTCCTTCTGATGTCTGTGATAAGTTGTCTTCGGGCTCCCGCCTCTTTCAAAACCTCTTTGTTGCTTTTTTTGGCTGTCCAAGGTATTCTAAGCACTCTTCTGTAAAACCACATCTCTGAGACCTCCATAAATTGTTTGGCCTGCCTACCGATTGTCCAGGATTCACAGCCATATGTTAAAACTGGATGTATGTAGCAAGCAAGAATTCATTTTCTAACTCTCAATGACAATATTATATTGCACAAGATGTTTTTAATTTTTAAAAATGCAGTTTTTGCCTGTCCTATTATGTTTCTTACCTCAGTTATACATCTTCCATCTGATGTTATCCATGTGCCCAGATACTTACATTTCTGTACTTGAAAAAACACCATCAACCTTTATTACACACTTAGGAATAATTCGTTTTTTGATACCACCATTACTTCTGTCTTCCCATTATTCAAACTGAGGTCCATTTTTCCACTTTCTAACACCACAATGTCTATCATTTCCTGTAGTTCTTTCTGACTTGTTGCCATCAAGACTGTGCCATCAGCATAACGTAAATTGTTTATATTGTGCCCACCAACCACAATTCCTGGCATACCAATTAAAGCTCTCATTATATATTCACTGTTTATACCCTGTTTATCAGGGTCTAATAAATGTGAAAGCACTATAGTACTTGTAGGTGTGATTCTAAACAGAAATAAAAAAAATAAATAAAAAAAATACAAGAAACACTAAGCCTGCTAAGCAAATGTGCAGGAGTTTACTAGGTGAGGGTGACATGAATCTGAATACTTGAATGTAGTTTAGGAAAGTTAAGCTGAAAAAGGTAGAATAAGTTAATAAACGCAAGAACAACACAACCAGCTAAAATGAAAAGTGGCTAGACTCAGAAATGGCGCAATGTATCGTTAATTAAAGAAAACCATACTGCGTTTGAATGGTTGCCTTGACTTTTTTTTAAACCGGGAAAATCTCAAGATTGGGTGCTTCGGTTGCTAGAAATATTTAACAATTAAGGAGTCCGCCAGGCTGCTGGAGAGATAAAAATATTGTATGGTTAGTATTTTGGGATTGTGAGAAGCAAGGGGGAAGGAAGTATGTCAACATATTAGGAACAGATGAAACAGTACTTTTATTAGACCACACAGAGAAATATACATCTCATAGTAAGAGAGTGGTCCTTAGGCTGAGCTATTTAACAGCCATAAAAAAGCTCTGTTAGAACTTAAAGCAGTGAGTTGAAGAACAGTAGTGAATCTGATTTGCTAGACGCTTGCCTGTGGGTCAGGGGTTTGGGGATCAAATCCACATGATGGAGGCTCCCATGTGGATCCAGCCTAAAGTGGGTGGCCGGAAATGTCCGGCTGCCAGTTGAGATGTTGACTAAATCACTTATCGAGTGCTGATTGGTCTATACACACCTAGGGCTGGCCCCATGTACCCATTATGTATAATGACCTGAAAAAACGGTCCTTTGCTTTTCTTTGCTGTCTAACACCACAGGTCCTCCCATACCCTCAGTTAAAGAATCAGAAATGACTTCACTTATAGATCTTATGTTCTTTACTTTTACAATCGTACTTTACTTCCTTTCTAGAATCGCACATATCTTCATTTACTGAATGGCACGCTGCTTCAATTATAGCCATGTCTTACTTCACATGTCACATTGCTTTTGTTCAACTGCATAATCATAAAGAACGTAACTTACATCTTACTTTTCACTTTAAATCGTTTCATACTTAAATTATAGTCAAATCTGACATCAGTTTTATAATAACACATGACTTCCGTTGTACAACCACATCTGACATCAATTTTACAATCACACATGACTTCCGTTGTACAGTCATATCTGACATCAGTTTTACAACCACACCTGACTTCTCTCATGCAGCCATATCTGACATTAGTTTTACAACCATACATGAATTCAGTTTACGCAATTATATCTGACATCAATTTTACAACTATATCTGGCTCCATTTATACAGGCTTACCTTCTTCTCTTCAAAGTCCAGGGCCATTTTAAACCTAGCCAGACTTTCAAACTTTTCTTCGTCAGGTTTTCCAGTCTTGTTGAGGACAAGCTCAAGTTCTTTCTGAGTTCGAATCCGATCTAGAAGCTTCACCACGTAATCACTGAGCTGATCTGCCAGGCTTTTGTACTCGCTCTACATAAGATAATATTATAACATTTACACAAAGGACTATCTTCAGTGTCACCAATCAACGACAACAGTCATGTAACACCGATCCTGTACCGATTGAAGCTATCCCCCCCCCCCCCCGTCTCTCTAGCAATGCATAAACCAACACTTTAATATGGGTGAAAGAAGTCGAGCTGATATAAAGTAGTAGCAACACGGAAATATCTTATGGGTATTTACAATGCGTCTCTAAAAACAACCTCCCGCCATTTTAACAGCTATGATCACTAAGGCGAAACTGACATCCATGTTACTGCTATAAAATCTTGCCCTGGAGATCAAACCAGTCGCTCCTACTTGAGAAATCACCTTCGTCTATAATTTCGGGGTTCTCAGCCTTTCAGGGATACATTTTTAGGAAACCGCTTTCTTATTCCCACTCCTTCTTATTTGATTCGTTTCATAATAGCTCTTCTTAACCACATTTCTTCTAATTTGTTTTGTTTGTTAAAAACTTCACAAGACAAAGCGTTCCATTATAAGATATGCGAGTCTTTCCCTCCCTTCCAGTCATAGTTTGTTTTGTGTTTAGTTATTTCTTCATAAATTACAATTGGGCAAGGAAGGTTTTCGGAGCGAATTAATTAAACCATTTGCCTCGTTCCAGAAAAGTTATAGATTTGATTTTATACTCTGTTCTTCGGTTGGCAAGTACATATATTACGGAGATGTGCATGGTCGTTGCTAGCGCTGTGGAGTTTGTGCTGTGTGCAATGCTCTCGCAAACGACCTGCAACTCTATGGAGAGAAACCTAGCCATGTGAGATAATATCTGACTGTGAAGTCCCTCGCTGCTTCCAAGTTCGAATGATAAAGACCTTTTTTCATAACCGTTTGTCCCCCGTGTGGGTTCCGGGGCCCCATTGTGGGGAAAACAAGAATAGACCCACTGCCTCCCCAAAAGCATGTCGTAAGAGTCGGCTAATTGGGGAGCTTTCTTTGAAGTCGGAGTGCATCTGCCGGAGAGGCAAGGAACCGACAGTGTGTATTCAAGAGAATGAGATCTGTAAAACTGATGCACACGCAACACTCAGGTTCTGGAGCAGGTCTGCAGTTCAGTAGTGGACGAGCAACCAGAACCTTCCGCCAGAGTGTACAGCTGGTGAACGCGAAGAAGAAGAAGAAGACAAAAGTTTGTCAAGGTACTGAAAGCTGTTGCTCCAAAAATTATACATGAGATGTTCGAGTACCTCTATAATACATGTTCAGCGGGGACTGCTGTCTGCGCAACATGCTAATAGTTTCGTAGTTCCGACTCTAGGTTATTTACATGGGCCCTAGATATGTAAATTGATTCTCTCGCTCTAATTTCTAATTCTCTTACGTTGACCACTTTCAGCTAGGTCAGATCACATTTCTGCTCTCTTTCCTGTCTGCTATATTTGTGGTGATGTTTCTGGTCTCGATCTCATTTGGTTTTGGATTGTGTTCAGTATTTGTCGCTTTCTATTTGTTGTGGTTTCCGCTCGATTGTTTGCTTTTGTAATTTGGCTGGCCCTGTGCTGCGCTCCAGATCATTGGATGTTGAATCCATTTTGTGTGGAATTCATTGGCTGTTTGCTGTTTCCGAACAAAGGGGATTGCCTATCCTAAGATAATGGAGATCCTAAGAAGGACCGGCGGTTGTTTGCCTTGGGCAGGTACTGAAGGAAATAATGGTGGGGTCTGGTGTTATTTGGTGATCTTCTCGTATCCTTGTTGTAAAGTACTTCTCCTACATAGGGTTTAGGTAATTTTGGCGTTGGTTGTGTCGACTCTGGCATTAATGTTTGTGGTAACGGTATCGACCTCGTTTGACTTCAGGTTTTGGCTCTCGGAACGGTTCTTCTGGTGATGACCATGGTACATCATCTTCTTGCAATTCTGTGTTTAAGTAGTTCAGATCCTCCAGCTCCCTGATGCGTTGGTTTATTTGTATAGTGGTTTCGTCCGGAAACTGCAGTTACTCTCGCTCTAATTGTTATACCTTTAATGTATACTGATGTGTTTAAAGCAACATACATACATACATCAAAGCCAGAGTTATCAAATCTGACACATTACCTTGAAATGTTTCTCCACACTGGACAACCTTCGTAGTTCGGCAGCCAGCTCAAATGCTGTCAGTATAGGATCACCGCTGGAGAGTGAAATGTAAGCCTCACTGGCAAGTCCCCTGTAGGCGTTGAGCCGGTACTTAGCCAGTCGAAGCTGGTCAAATTTCATTTTATTGCGGCACTCCTGTTAGGAAACGATAGAAAGGGGCTACCATTACATACAATTTTTGTAAACGTTAAATGTACTGACTTTCTCTCCTTTTTCTTCTTCTTTCACTTCCGTCAGGCCCTTCTCCTCCTATTAGTATATCTTCTTTTTTTCCTCCTTCTGTCCCCACCCTCAGTTTGGTCCTTTTCTTCTTCTAGTCTTTTTCTTTCTGGTCCTCCTCAGCTTTCCCTGATTCTTTTCTGACCCCCTCCTCTTACATCATCCTCTCCATGAACTCATTTTCTCTCCCCGTCCCCTCTTCTTATGACCTGTTTTCAGCTATTTATTTCTACACGAGAAGTTTAGTTCTTATTTTTTAAGGGTTTTATTCCCCCCCCCCCCCCCAATTGTTACCATTGTCCCGCACTGACAGCTAAAATGTCTGGGACATAAAGAGCTGCTTGCCTCTGTGTAGGGTTGTCTCTCTTTTAGCACTGTTAGGGACACCACGTTTGTGCTGTGTATTCCTGTGCTTCATAGGCCGGGGGGAGGGGGGGGGGGGTGGAGGAAAGAATAGACCCCGTCTCCTAAAAAAGTAAACCATAAAAGCCTATTAATTAGGAATTTACGAAATCGGATGTTTGGGTTGAGAGGCACATAAATCGCAGCCTAGCTGTATACCACAACGTGCCAACAGCCTTTTTAAGGTCAAACCATCAGCACCAGAAGATGGAAAAGTGGAAGAAGAAGAAGAAGAAGAAGAAGAAGAAGAAGAAGAAGAAGAAGAAGAAAGAAGAAGAAGAAGAAGAAGAAGAAGAGAAGAAGAAGAAGAAGAAGAAGAAGAAGAAGAAGAAGAAGAAGAAGAAGAAGAAGAAGAGAAGAAGAAGAAGAAGAAGAAAGAAGAAGAAGAAGAAGGGAAGAAGAAGGGAGAAGAAGAAGGAAGAAGAAGAAGAAGAAGAAGAAAGAAGAAGAAGAAGAAGAAGAAGAAGAAGAAGAAGAAGAAGAAGAAGAAGAAGAAGAAGAAGAAGAAGAAGAAGAAGAAGAAGAAGAAGAAGAAGAAGAAGAAGAAGAAGAAGAAGAAGAAGAAGAAGAAGAAGAAGAAGAAGAAGAAGAAGAAGAAGAAGAAGAAAGAAGAAGAAGAAGAAGAGCAAGAAGAAGAAAGAAGAGAAGAAGAGAAGAAGAAGAAAGGAAGAAGAGAAGAAGAAGGGAAGAAGAAGAAGAAGGAAGAAAGAAGAAGAAGAAGAAGAAGAAGAAGAAGAAGAAGAAGAGAAGAAGAAGAAGAAGAAGAGAAGAAGAAGAAGAAGAAGAAGAGAAGAAGAAGAAGAAGAAGAAGAAGAAGAAGAAGAAGAAGAAGAAGAAGAAGAAGAAGAAGAAGAAAGAAGAAGAAGAAGAAGAAGAAGAAGAAGAAGAAGAAGAAGAAGAAGAAGAAGAAGAAGAAGAAAGAAGAAGAAGAAGAAGAAGAAGAAGAAAGAAGAAGAAGAAGAAGAAGAAGAAGAAGAAGAAGAGAAGAAGAAGAAGAAGAAGAAGAAGAAGAAGAAGAAGAAGAAGAAGAAGAAGAAGAAGAAGAAGAAGAAGAAGAAGAAGAAGAAGAAGAAGAAGAAGAAGAAGAAGAAGAAGAAAAGAAGAAGAAGAAGAAGAAGAAGAAGAAGAAAGAAGAAGAAGAAGAAGAAGAAGAAGAAGAAGAAGAAGAAGAAGAAGAAGAAGAAGAGAAGAAGAAGAGAAGAAGAAGAAGAAGAAGGAGGAGGAAGAGAAGAAGAAGAAGATGAAGAAGAAGAAGAAGAAGAAGAAGAAGAAGAAGAAGAAGAAGAAGAAGAAGAAGAAGAAGAAGAAGAAGAAGAAGAAGAAGAAGAAGAAGAAGAAGAAGAAGAAGAAGAAGAAGAAGAAGAAGAAGAAGAAGAAGAAGAAAGAAGAAGAAGAAGAAGAAGAAGAAGAAGAAGAAGAAGAAGAAGAAGAAGAAGAAGAAGAAGAAGAAGAAGAAGAAGAAGAAGAAGAAGAAGAAGAAGAAGAAGAAGAAGAAGGAAGAGGAGGACCGGGAGGGGGGGGGGAGAAGAAGAATAAGACGAAGTTTTGTTATCTGTAAGTGTTTGTTGAAAAGGATGGGTGTATATTCAAGTATGATCGATGTAGCATGCAACTGCAAGCCGCCCAGTTAAACAATGACAGTCGTTTGTAAACCTAAACTGATTGTTGCATTGACCAGGTGAGAGTAGACTTGTGAAACCATACTGTGCAGTAACATGTTGGTTCATGTATAGTTTATTTAACTATTGCAATGTCTTCTTCATATTTAAATGGTCTCCCTAAATCTGTCCAACTATATATGTTTATACACATATTAACTAAAAGAAGTAAACTTGTGGAGTGAAATGAAATATCTAATACTAGTTTAACAATAATCTTTTGGTAGATCACACCGTTTCTGCAGCAATGCCTTCTGTTTAGTAAAATTGTGAATTTAAATAACGAACCAAATCTTGCACACAAATTGCAACAGAAACGACATTTACATAAATACAGTTCACTAACTGCTAGCTAGTGTTTGAAGCAAGGATTGATTCTGTCATGGATATGGCCGCTAGCACTAACCCCTGATCTTCCATTCGGGGTTCAGTCGAATATATATGTGGCTGTCGGTGCGTTTACCTTCCAGGCACGACTTTCTTCTAGAAATTGTCAGTATCTCTTTAACACATCATTACTTTTGCCTCCTATAATAATCGACACACAGCGACACGCGAGGGTGCGAGTGCCCGCGCGCGTACGCACATACACATGTATGCATGGAAACACAAACACACACACTTATGCATGCGCATCCCTTTCCCCAATGAAATGTTGACTGAAATATGACTCAAGCGATTTTGGAATAAGTCATTCAGTTCTTGAATGCAAGTGTTTTGAATATATATGAGAATTGTCGCTGGCGTTACGGGAGTTACAGAACTGTTACTTTGTGAAACTCAAGGGAAAAGATAGACGGATTTTAGAATGATTCGCAGCAGAGAGAGAGAATGACAGAAAAAAAGGAGACAGAGCGAGAGAGAATGAGAGAGACACATCAGGATAAGACACAGACGTATATTGTGCGGGTATGCAGGGAAATGAGCAGCCTGATACGTCCGATGCTACCTTCTTTCGGACGGCACTATTCTTTGTGAAACAGCTGAAGTCCTGACAACTTTACGATGATGTGTATAGTGCACATAGAGTTTTTACAGCTGGGTTTATAAACTAACCACGTCCATGGGAAACCTTTAATAGTTACTGAAGATGAGTCGAGCGGTGACGATTCCTGATCAAAGTATATATCCAGTCTGTTAGCTGGGCTGGTATCCTTCACAAAGTAAGAGTCGTTAGACAGAAGGTATTTTCAACAGCTGGTGTTAGTTAGGGACAGTGATAGGTCGACTGACTTTATCAGACTGGAACAGTCGTAACATGTAAGCAAAGGGGCAAAGAGGCACTTTCAGAGACAAGATCAAGAAGCATAACGTCAAACTTTGCATTTTTGTAAAATGCAAACGATTCCAAAAGGAAAATGGCTTTTTCAAAGTGGGAAAAAAGAGTGTTGGTTGCTTCTTAGCAAGGAATGGACAAAAAGCGGGCAAGCTATAAACCAACAGAGGCGAAGATGTTGTTGCTTAGAAAAATGCAGAAAATATCAATGGCTGATAGAAAAACAACGAAGTAGTCCACGAGAGATTGGTGAAAACCGTAGACAAAAGTGGACAGTCAGGGTATTTCGTATATGTTATGAACAAACTCGAAAATTTGCGACAACTGCAAGGCTTGATTGAAAAAGAAGCAGGAGAAAGACAAATGAATAAATATGTTAGTGATTGCATGAGCTGGTGAACCACGGACTGTTCATGCTTACCGCCATGGCACTTACTAGTGATGGTGAACAAACACCACATGCCTACCGACAGATAACCACCACACGTCTACCGACCGATAACCACCACACGTCTACCGACCGATAACCACCACACGTCTACCGACCGATAACCACCACACGTCTACCGACCGATAACCACCACACGCCTACCGGCCGATAACCACCACACATCTACCGACCGATAACCACCACACGTCTACCGACCGATAACCACCACACATGCTGGCATAAATGGTGACGAATACATGGAATTCAGGAATGTTTCACATTCCTTATTTGCATAGTTTTGTTGAAATGATTCATCTAAATTTGAATTTGTTAAAGTGTACACCTCAGACGTGTGTATTTTCGCGATACATGAATAGTGATTGTAGTGTGGTAACTGATTCATAACGGTGGATGTTAGCGATTCTATATCGTCTGTGTGCACGTTATAGATAGACAATTGTACAACCCCATGACTCCAGCAAACTGAGCACCCGTAGTACCCGTAAGAAATAGCATTATAGTCTTCTCTCTGTTCAGCAGGTGTAATAATGCCGCTGCAAATCTAATTATTAGGTAGAACATTCTTCCAGTACATACGGCTGTCAGCTGCAGTCTAACAAGAGGATATAGGCCAAGAGCTCAGTACAGAATCAGTTGGATACCAAGGACGAGGATCCTGGAAACAACTGCTTACACATACATGACAAACAGATTATTGTTTCTTAGTATTCACCACAGAGGATTGCCTGATTTTTGTAGATTAGACAATATAGAAACAATACTGTTGGGTCTGAGGCTTAGGAGTTATAAACGCAGTATCACAATCCTGATATACGGGGATTTCAAGTCGGATGCATGGAATTTAGCAGCAGGCGGTTTTGTGGTGCTGATGTTAACAAGGTCATGAGAAGCTCATGGTTCACAAAGCGATTGCTAGCAACAAAAAGTCAAATGTGTGTAGCCAAATCACAGACAACAAATGTTGGGGTTAGTTTGCGATCTCCTACAGAAGATATACAACTAACTTTATAGAACAAACTGGATGGTAAAATCTAAGGGACCGGAAAAATAACGTCCAAGAAAATAGCAACAGGATCTAAGAACGTCGTGGATCAAACGTATCTTAGGTAACAGAGACTTGCTATAAACATGGAATAGACGGAGAATATGAGCAAAAGATGTGAGTCCATTGCTATGAATTTGTTTTATTATCAATGCGATAATAATGCTGAAAACCACAAGAACAATATACATTTATGTACGACTACATACTGGAAAAAAACAGTTGTTGCCAATGTATGACAATGTACTACTTTTGTTGTTGTCTCACGCTGGGAAAACAACAACAACAACAACGACAAAAGTCTGGCGACAGTGACGACAAACATGAGATGCTGACATGTTGGTACCTGGCAGCCGCAGCTGAACTTGTGCGGTTTCATGATGTGTTCCCCTCGAGTCAACAATAACTGGACAATCTCGAACTGGTTCTTCTGAGCTGCCAGGATCAGGGGCGTGATGTCCGGGGAGAACTGCGAGTCTGATAATGCTGTCTTGTAAAAACCGTCTGTAGAGACAAACCAAGAATAGCTTATATACAACAATAGATTAACACACACACAATCACACACACACTTACCCACCCCCCCCCACACACACACACACACACAAAGACACACACACACTTAATGTCAAGGATAACTGCTGTTTTCTTATGTATTATCATCTAGGGTATCTGAATGGCTTGGCTAATAGACCAGAGCGACACAGGCACTCCAATTGAAAAAAAAAACTATCTGGTAAACAAACACTATTCTCCAAACTAGGCAGCCGGTGTAAGGTAACTATGCAATGGATACCATACCACTGTGGATTTTCTGGAACTGAAAGAGCTGATAAACTAGCTAAGGAAGATGCAAATGAAGAACAACCTAACGTAATAGTTTCTTATCAACAGAAGAAGAGAATAATCAAATCTATCAGAAAAAAAAAAAAAAAAAAAAAACGGCACAAGGCGATTACCATTTCATGGACAGACCAGAGCAAGTTATTATTCTACGTTTTAGAACAAGACACAATCGACTTCGTAGCCACAAGTACACAAAATGTAAAATGGGTGAATCAGCCTTGTCCACATGTGGATTGGCACTCCTCCAAGACTGTCACAAATCGTGTTAAATCGTTTAAAATTCAGCTTCCTAGATTCCCCATGTTAGTTTAGTTCCGTGAAATTGAAGAGACCCACTGCGATCCTAACAACCAAGTCATAAGTGGCGTCTAATTAGGGACGTTGTCTTTAAAACCAGAGGCGTCTGCCATAGAGGCGAGAAACCAGCTATCTTCTTATCAGATCTGTAAAACGGATGTGTACGTAAATTTCAAGTCCTAAGGCAAGACTAAAGTCCAGTAATGGGCAGGCAACCATAACTTTTTGACGGAGTGACCGCTAAAAAAAAAAGAAGAAGAAGAAGAAGAAGAAGAAGAAGAAGAAGAAGAAGAAAGAAGTCGACGACACCCTGCATGATGGTGTCCAATTGAAAAAATGACAACCAGATGATGATGATGATGACAATAACGACTGTAGCGGTACCTGTGTCGCCGAGCTTCCGCCTCTCCTTCCACATCTCCAAGTAGCGCCGATGCTTCAAGATGCTCTCGGCGATCTGTGTGTGGTCAGCACTGATAGCCTGCAGCACGGCCTCGTAGATCTGGTGGGTTCCAGCTCTTTCCAGCAGCAATTCAACAATCTGAGCAAGGCAATGTACACGTGACTGTGTCATCTGTGGTGTCTACACGTGACTGTGTCATCTGTGGTGTCTACACGTGATTGCGTTATGTGTGGTGTCTACACGTGATTATGTCATCTGTGGTGTCTACACGTGACTGTGTCATCTGTGGTGTCTACACGTGACTGTGTCATCTGTGGTGTCTACACGTGACTGTGTCATCTGTGGTGTCTACACGTGATTGTGTCATCTGTGGTGTCTACACGTGACTGTGTCATCTGTGGTGTCTACACGTGACTGTGTCATCTGTGGTGTCTACACGTGACTGTGTCATCTGTGGTGTCTACACGTGACTGTGTCATCTGTGGTGTCTACACGTGATGCGTCATCGGTGGTGTCTACACGTGACTGTGTCATCTGTGGTGTCTACACGTGACTGTGTCATCTGTGGTGTCTACACGTGATTGTGTCATCTGTGGTGTCTACACGTGACTGTGTCATCTGTGGTGTCTACACGTGATTGTGTCATCTGTGGTGTCTACACGTGATTGTGTCATCTGTGGTGTCTACACGTGATTGTGTCATATGTGGTGTCTACACGTGATTGTGTCATCTGTGGTGTCTACACGTGATTGCGTTATGTGTGGTGTCTACACGTGATCTGTCATGTGTGGTGTCTACACGTGATTGTGTCATTGTGGTGTCTACACGTGATTGTGTCATTGTGGTGTCTACACGTGATTGCGTCATTGTGGTGTCTACACGTGATTGCGTCATTGTGGTGTCTACACGTGATTGATTGTGTCATTGTGTGTGGTGTCTACACGTGATTGTGTCATCTGTGGTGTCTTGACTGTGTCATCTGTGGTGTCTACACGTGATTGCGTCATCTGTGGTGTCTACACGTGATTTGTCATTGTGGTGTCTACACGTGATTGCGTCACACGTGTCTACACGTGATTGTGTCATCTGTGGTGTCTACACGTGATTGTGTCATCTGTGGTGTCTACACGTGATTGTGTCATCTGTGGTGTCTACACGTGATTGCGTCATCTGTGGTGTCTACACGTGATTGCGTCATCTGTGGTGTCTACACGTGATTGTGTCATCTGTGGTGTCTACACGTGATTGTGTCATCTGTGGTGTCTACACGTGATTGTGTCATCTGTGTGTCTACACATGTGTGGTGTCTACACGTGATTGTGTCATCTGTGGTGTCTACACGTGATTGTGTCATGTGTGGTGTCTACACGTGATTGTGTCATGGTGGTGTCTACACGTGATTGTGTCATGTGTGGTGTCTACACGTGATTGTGTCATGTGTGGTGTCTACACGTGATTGTGTCATGGGTGGTGTCTACACGTGATTGTGTCATGTGTGGTGTCTACACGTGATTGTGTCATGGGTGGTGTCTACACGTGATTGTGTCATGGGTGGTGTCTACACGTGATTGTGTCATGGGTGGTGTCTACACGTGATTGTGTCATGTGTGGTGTCTACACGTGATTGTGTCATGGGTGGTGTCTACGCGTGATTGTGTCATGGGTGGTGTCTACACGTGATTGTGTCATGTGTGGTGTCTACACGTGATTGTGTCATGGGTGGTGTCTACACGTGATTGTGTCATGTGTGGTGTCTACACGTGATTGTGTCATGGGTGGTGTCTACACGTGATTGCGTTATGTGTGGTGTCTACACGTGATTGTGTCATGTGTGGTGCCTACACGTGACTGTGTCATGTGTGGTGTCTACACGTGATTGCGTTATGTGTGGTGTCTACACGTGATTGTGTCGTCTGTTGTGTCTACACGTGATTGTGTCATGGGTGGTGTCTACACGTGATTGCGTTATGTGTGGTGTCTACACGTGATTGTGTCATGGGTGGTGTCTACACGTGATTGCGTTATGTGTGGTGTCTACACGTGATTGTGTCGTGGGTGGTGTCTACACGTGATTGTGTCATGGGTGGTGTCTACACGTGATGTGTTATGTGTGATGTTTACACGTAATTTCGTCATATGTGGTGTCTACACGTGATTGTGTCATGTGTGGTGTCTACACGTGATTGTGTCATGTGTGGTGTCTACACGTGATTGTGTCATGTGTGGTGTCTACACGTGATTGTGTTATGTGTGGTGTCTACACACGTGATTGTGTCATGTGTGGTGTCTACACGTGATTGTGTCATGTGTGGTGTCTACACGTGATTGTGTCATGTGTGGTGTCTACACGTGATTGTGTCATGTGTGGTGTCTACACGTGATTGTGTCATGTGTGGTGTCTACACGTGATTGTGTCATGTGTAGTGGCTACACTTGATTGTGTCATGTGTAGTGGCTACACTTGATTGTGTCATGTGTGGTGTCTACACGTGATTGTGTCATGTGTTGTGTCTACACGTGATTGTGTCATGTGTGGTGTCTACACGTGATTGTGTCATGTGTGGTGTCTACACGTGATTGTGTCATGTGTTGTGTCTACACGTGATTGTGTCATGTGTGGTGTCTACACGTGATTGTGTCATGTGTGGTGTCTACACGTGATTGTGTCATGTGTGGTGTCTACACGTGATTGTGTCATGTGTGGTGTCTACACGTGATTGTGTCATGTGTGGTGTCTACACGTGATTGTGTCATGTGTGGTGTCTACACGTGATTGTGTCATGTGTGGTGTCTACACGTGATTTTGTCATGTGTGGTGTCTACACGTGATTGTGTCATGTGTGGTGTCTACACGTGATTGTGTCATGTGTGGTGTCTACACGTGATTGTGTCATGTGTGGTGTCTACACGTGATTGTGTCATGTGTGGTGTCTACACGTGATTGTGTCATGTGTAGTGGCTACACTTGATTGTGTCATGTGTAGTGGCTACACTTGATTGTGTCATGTGTAGTGGCTACACTTGATTGTGTCATGTGTAGTGGCTACACTTGATTGTGTCATGTGTAGTGGCTACACTGTGTGGTACAATGTGAGGAATACCATGTACACGTGTTTGTGTCATGTGTGGTAAAGTGTGGGGAATTCCATGTACACGTGTTTGTGTCATGTGTGGTAAATGTCAGGAATACCATGTACACGTTTTGTGTAATGTGTGGTACAATGTGAAGAATATCATTACACATGATTGTGTCATTTGTGGTCCAATTTGAGGATTACGATGTACTAGTGATTATGTGATGTGTGATACAGTTGGAGAAATACCATGCACACGTGACTGTGTAAGCCACAACATAACGCATTAACCGCCCTTTTCAGGGCAACGGACACAGAATTTAGGTAATTTAACACATTGAATACTTTGTTTGTTTGTTTTAGTATCCAGAAGCCATGAGTTGTTAACCCTTAGGCTCGGTATTATGGATATTGCAACCTTTCGGCCTTGATTCCACTGTAAATACCGTAAATCTGGGAGAAATGTGGCTTTTCTGCCTACCCCCGGGAGTGAAACCCGGACCACAGGGAGTTCGTCACCCGGTCACCTCGCAATCCGGTTTAGCCAACTACGCTAAAGAGCCAAGCCATTGAATACTTTAACATCATTATCACGTAGCAGGTACTTTGCAGAACGTCGCTCGCATCACGGTCTGCACGAAAGAAACTCGGTTTCTCGCCAGCTCTCCCGCCTCATGTACTTTCATATTCAAGGAGTCACTTATATCCTGTGCCCATCTTTGTGTTAGTCGGCCCCTCTCCTCCTTCCTGGTAACATGTCTTCTGCTATTATTTTCCCCCCCATTTCCGCCATATCGTTTGATATGACCAAAATATTTCAGCTGACTGAGACAAGATGCTGTTTATTAGCCAATCTTCCTTGATGTTCAGATCTTTTGGAATGTCAGTATTTCCTCTCTTCTTTGTCCTTCGTATTCTGAGAATCTTTCTACAGCATTGCATTTCAAAAACCCATAATTTTCTATTCTTAAGGACTGGGAGATAGTCAACGGCTCACATGCTTATTTTGCTACAGGGAAGATGCATGCTCTCAAAATTTTAACTTTGATTTCCTTCCTAGTGTTTAAACCAGAATACTTTAACAAAGAATACTTCAACACTCACAGAAAATCATATGATGATACATTAATCAGCACATATTTTTTTTAGTAAATCTACCTTCCTTGTTGACGAATGGAAAGATAACAACTGATAGAAAAGGCAGAGGACAGACCAAGACAAATGATGACTGGTGGCCTAAGACAGTGAAATGGAGGAATATCATCAGTAGAATTGATCCAGAACAACAAAGATCGAGATCTGTGGCGACGCATGAACGACGCCTCAGCCTTCCTTGTTGCTCATCGCCACTCAAACAGAAACACAAAGATGGACGTTGGGACGACACCAAGCAAGAGGCCAAGTCTGACAAACTTACCTCCAGGTGTTCATTTTTCACTGCAAGCCTCAACGCTGTACGTCCAAGAGCGTCTGTGCAGTCTGAGTTGAAATCCTTGTAATCAGTGAGAATTCTCTTCACACAATGAATGTCACCAAACTCGGCTGCATGTAGGAACTCCTCTTCCACGTCGGCGAACTGAAAAGGGTCGTTTTCATGAAGAGAATGTGTATATTCCCTGTGTGTGTGAGTTAGAAACTGGCCAAGTCATTCTCACATGCAACAGTTACACGCCAGCCAACATTGTGTGTAGCTATAGAACATGAACCGTCTCTGCTACACTGTACTCTGTGTAAAACATATCATTCTCAACGTATGAGACCCTGCGTCTGTGTTAGGGCTCATAATTCCGAATAAATAAGGCCGTTAAAATCTATACATAATATCGTGTACCTGCAAAGGATGCTTAATGCATAAATTACGAGTGCCCTAAATATTACTTATTTCGACGAAGCACGGGGCAAACTGAAATTTGCCCGATTATACTGACATTCAGGATAAGATTCTTTGAGTCACAGGTACGAGGACAATTTTGCGCAGCGGTTCCGAGGGGGGAAAAGCAGCCAGTCAGCCACAAATGCGACTCGTACAAACTGTATACGTCTCTTATAGCCTGCAACACAACCAGTCAGACAGCCACAGATGTGACTCGTACAAACTGTATACGTCTCTTATAGCCTGCAACACAACCAGTCAGTCAGCCACAGAAGAGACCCGTACAAACTGTATACGTCTCTTATACCTTGCAACACAACCAGTCAGTCAGCCACAGATGAGACCCGTACAAACTGTATACGTTTCTTGTAGCTTGCAACACAATCAATCAGTCAGCCACAGAAGAGACCCGTACAAACTATATACGTCTCTTATAGCTTGCAACACAACCAGCCAGTCAACCACAGATGTGACTCGTACAAACTGTATACGTCTCTTATAGCTTGCAACACAACCAGTCAGTCAGCCACAGAAGAGACCCGTACAAACTGTATACGTCACTTGTAGCTTGCAACACAACCAGTAAGTCAGCCACAGATGCGACTTGTACAAACTGTATACGTCTCTTATAGCTTGCAACACAATCAGTCAGTCAACCACAGATGAGACCCGTACAAACTATATACGTCTCTTATAGCTTGCAACACAACCAGTCAGTCAGCAAAAGATGAGACTTGAACGTACTGTATACGTCTCTTGTAGCTTGCAACACAACCAGTCAGTCAGCTACAGATAAGACTTGTACAAACTATATACGTCTCTTGTAGATTGCAACACAACCAGTCAGACAGCAAAAGATGAGACTTGTACAAACACTATACGTTTCTTGTAGCTTGCAACACAACCAGTCATTCAGTAACATATGAGATTCGTACATACTGTATACGTCTCTTGTAGCTTGCAACACAACCAGTCAGTCAGAAATAGATGCGACTAGTACATACTGTATACGTCTCTTCTTGCTTGCAACACAACCAATCAGCCAACAACAGATGCGACTCGTATAAACTGTATACGTCTCTTGTAACTTGCAACACAACCAGTCAGTCAGCTACATATGAGACTCGTACAAACTGTATACATCTCTTGTAGCTTGCAACACAACCAGCCAGACAGCAACAGGTGTGACTCGTACAAACTGTATACGTCTCTTGTAGCTTGCAACACAACCAGTCAGTCAGCCACAGATGAGAATCGTACAAACTGAATATGTCTCTTGTAGCTTGTAACACAACCAGTCAGTCAGCCACAGATGAGACTCGTACAAACTGTATACGTTTCTTGTAGCTTGCAACACAACCAGTAAGTCAGCCACAGATGAGACTTGTAAAAACTGTATATGTTTCTTGTAGCTTGCAACACAACCAGTCAGTCAGCCACAGATGAGACTCGTACAAACTATATACGACTCTTGTAGCTTGCAACACAACCAGTCAGTCAGCCACAGATGAGACTCGTACAAACTATATACGACTCTTGTAGCTTGCAACCCATCCAGTCAGTCAGCCACAGATGATACTCGTACAAACTATATTCGACTCTTGTAGCTTGCAACACAACCAGTCAGTCAGCCACAGACGAGACTCGTACAAACAAACTGTATACGTCTCTTTGTAGCTTGCAACACAACCATTAAAAACCGATTCTGTAATTTCTGAAATGTCTGTAAGATTGTGATTATACATGTGTATATGAGTATTAATTTCATTCGGTATCATGCGACAATTATATGCGCAGTTAGGGAATGTTTTTTCAGAGATGACTGATAAAAACAATCACCATGTCTTACAGCAGGGCTATTTAAATGGCGACCCATAGGCCACATCTGGCCCGCGGAGGTCTGGCAAGCGGCCCGTGGATTAGTGCCAGTTGTGTGTATTATTGATGGTTCTCTGCTGAGGCTGGGGCATATGATGATGATCCCGATGTTCACAGTTGTAGCCCCTGAGTAAACCTAGTTGAATAGCCTTGTCTTACAGACCATCTTCTTCATTTTGGCAGCATCCGGATGACCGGTCTATTCTAGTCCCAACAGATGGGAACATGACCCCAACAACTGAACTTTTGATCAAAAAGTAGAGAAAAATGACTGGAATATTAATAATGTTGAAGATGGACTGATATACTGATGACGATGATGTGCAACTCCACCAGGACATCAAGCTGAGCGATGAACACCTGATGACACAAAGTGCCACTATTCGGACAAGGTTCGCCCGAGGATGGGTCCGAGAAACCCCATTAAACCCATAGGTTGGGTTATATTAAGGCCCTCGCAAACGGCCAGAGTGGGGCTTTAAAATAACGAAACACTGCGTCCCATGTGAGGCGGTTTTCGGGACAGACATATTATTCTGCCTAATACTAATCTTTACTATAAATCACAAACTCTTTCTGGATTTCGTTTGTTTGATTCGATTTGATTCAAAAACTGACATCCCAGCACTCGGGGCATTTCCATAAGCGCTCCGTCCCTATCTTCACCAGCCAGCGAAGAGTTCCGATACTAATGGTGCTAGTAACATTCTGATTAAACGTCCATCTTGCCTTTCATCTGAGCTTCAAGCATCTGACTGACTGACTTCTTACCCAACCAGGACATCACACAATGTGTCACCATGTGGGTGAGGATCACTGTGGAGAGGTCCCAGAAACCGCTTACAGCCTGTAGGCCATATTTATGGCCAGGCTGTATTGCAGCCCATGTAAAGATCCAGAGTAGGGCTTCAAATAACGAAAAATTGCATCCTAAAGGACATCACACAAGCGATAAACACCCGATGACACAAAGTGCCACCATGCGGATGAGGATCACAGTGGAGAGGTCCCAGAAACCGCGTTCAGACATTTGGCCATAATGATGACCTGCCTATATTGCGGCCCCTGGCAAAAGCCAGAGTGGGGCTTCAAATAACAAAAAATTACGTCCGAACAGGGACGTAAATGAACACTACTACACTCAATTGGCCATATTTATGGCCTGCCTATATTCCGGCCCCTGGCAAAAGCCAGAGTGGGGCTTCAAATAACAAAAAATTACGCAGAACCTCTCGTCACTTCCCGCTACATCAATCTCAGCAGACTGTGGTGATTTCGTGACTTTATTATAAAAAAGTGTTATCTTTTCTCGAACCGTGATCATTATACGTGTAACATTTTTATTTACCATTATGATTACAATGTTTGATTTTACAGTCATAGTTGTGTTCCAGATTATGGTGCGTTTCTGTATTTATTGCGACAATCAGTAAAAGTAAAATTTTGTTGGCGTTATTTCCCTTTTCATATTGCTCCTAATACTTCCCTTTTAAAGGTAATTTAAAAAGAGTATATTTCGCCGTTATCTTCTTTGTCTGTTTCCCAAATAGTTAAAAACTGGTGTTAGTGTTACAAGGGACGCCCCGTGGGCACTTAAGGTCAATCAATTATGAGCAATGACTGTGTCAGGAAAGTGTCAGTGACCAGGAGCTAACAACGATCATGTCAGTAGATAGGACAAGTGATTGATACGAATAAATCTGTATGTGTACGTCATCAAAATGCAAAACAGAAGGCGGAAGAAGTACAATAAAGTCAGCCTCCAATACGTAAATAACACTTTCAATTGAATCGCAATCTCAAATAATCCAACTGTTTTACACCATGTTTGGGGAAGCTTTAAATATGTGACCTCACAGTGAGGGGAAACATAACAGATTTATTGCCTCGTGACCACAGCAGCCACCGTGTGCCAGCTGGTCAAAACGAATATGAGTCAGGTATCACACCCGATGTGCCACTGTCGCAAAACGGGTCATTGACTTTATTACATTTGTACACTGCTTCTCAACAAGCGTGTAACAGGGTTTTGCTGAAATCGAATTTGCTAGATCGAAAGGCACAGATATCACAGCCTAGCTGTAAACCACAACGCAATGAGCCAACCAACATGTTAAGTGCGAACACAGAAGGGTTAAAAAAGAACAAATAAAAAAATAGCATAGCCTTGTATAACGTGCACTTGACATGCGTATCCATTTTAAATGTTACTGTTACATATAACGCTAAGCCTAAATTTACTATGTCAACGACCCTCGGTACGGGATATGATGTGTGTGGGATGTGTCTCAGCACAATACTAAGCCACAACTATTGGACTCGGATGATCCCTCAGATGTGTGGTCACGAAATAATGCATGTCTTCACTGAATTTCACAAACCACGAGCCTGACGGTGAGAGGACGAACCACCACACTATCATGACTTCTCAATATACAGCCGTATGTTTTCGTCCTTATAAACACGAATCCTTCGTTTGTCGCTAACAATCACGCGTCCTTATGAACGTGAGATTTTGGTTTATTGCTAACTGGGCACGACTGCACACATACACTTTCACATGCTTCTGCCTGAACAAATCAAACACTACATGTCCATATTTCAACAAATATCGAGGTTTGTTGCACAAAGTACTACTTGTAGACAGACCAATGAGGTTGCTGCAGCAGACTCTAAAGTTAGTTGCATATCATTGACAGGGCACTGGCAAACCTATCCCAGTACTCTTTGACTGTGATGTTGTCGAAAGGCAATTGTACCTTCAGTCGTCTGTCATACAGACACAGCGGCTCATAATTAATAAAATACTCTGTGAAATGTCAATA